ATGTATGTATCACTGTCATACAATGCCTGCTTTTGAGAACTCCAGGTGGAAGGATCTCCATGTCTCCAGCTCTGCAATAAGGAATGCCCACTTTCTAAGATTCCAATGCAAGTCTTAGAGAGTTTTACTTGCTGACTTTTATGGTATCACTTGGTGGTGTAAAGGACAGGCTGAAGGTCTGGTGTTGTTGGAGTGCATACGTCCTCTCCCAGGTGACAGATGATAAAGACCCAGTTGCTCAACCCCAAGCAGGGCTTTGGCACCGGCAGGTTCATCCCTTGTTGGGTCTTTACCTGGCAGGGGTTGTCTCTGCAGCCAGCACAGCCCAGGGACCAGTCACCCATTTTAATATGCTGGGCAGGACGGGGAGAGAGTCCTCTCAGTCCTTCCTGTGTCTCTTAGCCCCGTCATGAGATGCTGTGCTGTCAGGGGTCCTCTGAGATGTTGGGACATCCATGCAGGGAAGCCATCTGCTACAGAGGGGGTGCAAAGGTGGTGACTGTTGTGCCTATCTGCTGTTATGCCTATCTTCAGGCCTTGCTCAAGAAATCAGTGGCAATTTATGGGGGGGGGGGGGGGAGCGACTAAAAAGTTGACTTCGAGAGTTTGAGCTGCTCAGTACTGATTTATTTACACCAAGGTAAGTCAGAAGGTACTTCCTAAAATTGGAGGTTAAACACACAGGGAACTACCATGAGAGGCTATCAGGGGGAGCACATTGCGTGCTGCATAAGTCACACGGAAGAAATCCCATCATACACAAGAGGCAACATGTGCAGACATGATGAGGGGAGAAACAAGACTGCTGTAGAATTGAAGGTGAGCAAAGCTCTCCTTCAAGCAGGACTCATGGTCATGTGCACACAGCTGATGTGGAGCTGCACAGCTTCCCCTGCACATCATCCAGCCCAGCTCTCAGATTGCCTTCTCTCGTCTTAAAAAGCGCCTTTGTTATTGAGTAGTAAAGGCCCTTTTTAACTCACAGCACAAGTTATTCTACTAAGTAACAGCAATACACTTTAAAAGTACTTGTTGCATGTCAAATTCTGTTACAAAGTGTGTTGGGTGTCATTCTGCCAATACCATGGTTAATGTTGGATTAAATCTGTGATGCACGATGTATGGCTGCGCACTCAGCTCAGGTTTTGGGCTAATACCGCAGTTCCTCGTGTATGCTGAGAGCAGCATCGTCAGGTTAAAGCAAGGGCATCATGTATGCTGGACACAAGGGACAGGAGAATGGAAGATCCATCGTTCCCTGCAGCATGGTGGCAGCAGCAGGCAGCTTGGGATAAAACTCTTGGGAGGCCATAGAACTGGCAAAGAGCACATGTCCAAGGTGGAAGGTAGACACAGGTCAGCTTACCCAAAAAAGCCTCTGGAACTGGTAGCCACACTTCTGGGGTTCTCCTGCTTCCAGCCACCAGCTGGGCATGAGGACGGGGACAGGAGGACCACGCTCTCTGGTAGCTCTTCTGCTTGTGCATGAGTGCGAGTGAAGTGAATGTGTGAGTTAGGGAATTAATTACGAAACTAATTAATTGAACTAGACTGATACAAGGGGGTTGATTTGATTGTTGGTTTTTACCTTAGTTGTTTTTTAACTCGTGAGCTCCTCAGATGAAGTCTGATTCTCAGGCCAGTAAATCTGAGTGGAGGAAGAGTAGCACTGCTGACAGGATGTTGAGAAGTAACAGAAGATGAGTGCAGGAAGCAGCTCAACCAGGCTGCGTGAAACCTCTTGTGACAAATCTTTGCACAAAGCCAGCATGTGACCACAGATGGATGTGAAACCACTTCCTTATTACTTTCCTTTGGGTCTGCTTGGCGTGAGCCGTATATATGAGGATCTGGGGCCCTTGGCCCCAGTTGTGAGCTCCTTGCTGCACACTGGACTTCGTGTTTGGGTGTCTCCCAGCCATACCCCCAGCACCATGTTGTGTCTGATGAGCCAGCTGAGCAGACCCACTCCACTGTGTGCAGTGCCCTTGCCATGGGAAGGACCAGCTGTAGCCACTTATGTTTTGATGAGATGTGAACCTGACCTTAGCTACATTTCCAAGGGCTGTGAATATTTCTCCCAACACTTGCTCAGCTCCTTTCTCCTCTGACTTCTATAGTTACAAGGACTTCCCTTTCATCTGAGTCATTCCTTTTCACTTGAGTCATTCCAAGTTGTGGAAAAGAGTCATGGTCTGGGTGAGAGGGGCTCTTCCATCAGATCAGTGGAGACACCGGGATAAACCAGTGTCACACGCAGAAGTCCTTCTCCGCGTCTGAAATGAAAACCTGAGTTTGTTACTCTGCTTTTTGAAAGGGCTGGTGGGACCACAGCTTTGGAGAGAGGCCCCCAGGCACCCTCCTACCAAGCAGCCACCCCTGACCTGCACACCAGTGAGCTTATAGTGGACCCTCTGTTAATGAACAACCTGCTTTTTGCCACTCAAGACACCGGGGTTCATACAACTAATAGTACAAAGGCAGTGTACTGGGGAAGGCGGCTCTGCTTGTTTGCAGCAGTGTTTAAAGTTGTGCGGTGGAGTGGCTTCAAATGGTACAAAGAACAGGTGGGAATGCCTGCATGTGATTTGTGCCAGCACAGAATAGATTAAGCTAGTTTCTGCTTGCCATGTCCCTGTAAAATACAATGGCAAACCACATAATTTATACTTTGTTCTTGCAGAGAAAGCAAAAATGTATTCAGGAAGAGGTGTTTTTCAAGACTCCTGAGTCTTTATCAAAATTGCATTTACTGTAATGCATGTTAAATAGGTGAATATTAATTTCAGCTGAATTTTTCCATTGCCTCCTCAGAAATAATCTTTTATTCTTACTGTGTGGAAAAAGGCATTACAGGTTTGGACTGGTTACCATACTTCTTTCTGGCTATTGAGGAGTTTTGCTCTTGGCCGTGCTGTGGCTGAGAGGAGTGCTTTGCAGCTGACTGCCTGTCTTCCCCCAGTGCCACTTCATGGACCAGGAGAAGCCACACGTGAAGGGTAACCACAGCCACCAGCCATAAGCAGATGCTCAGGCCTTGTGGTGGCTGCGATGGGAGGTGACGGGCACACTTGGGCCAGCACTAGGTGATGGCGATGCCCTTGCTGAGTTCCAGGAGCTCCTGTTTTGATTTCGCTGGTGAGATATTTCCAGGGTTTTTTGACCAACTTAAACAGCAGGTGAAAGGAATGAGCTGATGCAGGTGGTTTTGGTGGTGGTTTCTCAGAGTGACAAAGGGCAGTTACAGCTTGATGCACTGGAATCACGGGTTTCTGTGAAAGAAAAGCACTTGCAGGGTCTTGTTGCTCAGACAGTCAGTGTCACCCCCGCTCTGAACAGAGCTTTAACAGACTGTTAAAATCCCTAAGGTGTTGCTGATGAGCCTTTTAATGCGTTATCTCCCATAATGACTGCATTTCAGCTTCCCATCTCCCTCCTTCCCCAGAAGACTCCCAACCTAGTCTGGCCAGCCGGTGGGAAGTCAGGTATCTCCTCTTCTATAAAGCATTGGCTGAACTAAAACTTTTTTGCAAACCTCAATTTCTGCAGCTCCTTGCAGTGTTTGGTTTGGTTTTTTGGTTTGGTTTTGTGTTTTTTTTTTTTTTAATTGAAAGAAAAATGCGCAAAAAAAAGATAAAAATGAAAGCAGGTACAATGCAGCCAGGGATCAGCCAGGTAGCCCCGTCATAAAGCAGTGATAGCTGCAGTTAGACTTTGGAGATGTTGTAAGCCAAAGGGAGCATTCAGGGCAGGGCTTACTGTTATCTCAGCAGTACTACTGGTAAAAAGGCTCTGCTTAACATGCCATAAATCCCAGCCTGTTGACAAAGCTGGTAAATCGCAGTTTAACCCCAACTTCTTGCTGGTGGCAAGCAGGAAGCAAGTGCCATCAGCACTTTATGTGGGAGGCTTTGAACTTGGTTGCTCCTGTCAAGGAGCAGCTCAGATCCCTCTGTGCTCTCTGCACGCTCTGTGCATTGTGCTGGGAAACAACAATCACTGTCCTGGTGTCGCAGCTTCTCTATGAAATACGGAAGTGTATCCAAACCTGCCAGTGGCTCGCACAGGACATGAGTGGTTAAATATTTGGGGCATGTTGGTGAAGAAATAGTAAACATTAGCTTCTCAAGGAGAGAAATGGATGTGCGTATAATAAGGACTCAGTTAATTTTACAATAGCTGGGCTATGAGGCTTGTGACAAGCACTCAGGGAACCAGCCTGATTTTTATAGAAAGCCTCCACATGAGGTATACTGATTAATCCAGAAATGAAAACCCAAATGCATCCTCAAGAAGGAGCAGGGAGCATGCCTGCTGGAGATGGAGAAGAGGATTAAAAGCAAAATTACCATCACATCCTGCTGCCTCCTTATCTGGGCTCAATAGAAGTGGAGGAGGACAGTGGGGCCTGGGGTTCCCTCCACATCACAATGCCATGGCACAGGGTGCTGACCTGCAGGGAGCTACTCTGTGAGGCAGGTAGGTCTAGCAGTTGCTAAACAAAACCAGTTGTTGCTGGCTTTGGTGGAGAGCATCCTGGTTTGCCCCCTGCACCAGCAGGTTGGGGCAGGGGCTGTTCTGGGCACCCCTTTCCCTTTCACCCCAATGCAACCTGCCCTCCGTCGCCCAAGCCTGGTTGTGAAAGCAAGCATATTGGCACAACCCCTTCATCTGAAGCCTTTTCCTCAAGAAAAGGGAAAAGCTCAGAGTGAAGGACCCTGCAGTGCTGTTCATCTAGTCTGGCCTGGAATCTGGGAAGTATGCTTTTCCTTTAGGGAAAAATGGTGGGGAAATGTCTATCCCAACGAACACACATCACTCAGAGCTGTTCTCCCCCAGACAATAACCTCATGTACACAGAGTTAAGGGAATAAGACGATACATGCAATCAGTTTTTTAAAAGACAAATAGCAGTCTGTGATTTAATTTGCAGGGCAGGGGGAAATAAAATTGTGCAATATCTATAACCATACTGAAAGGGCACAGCTCCTGACCTCCCCTTCTAGTTACCTCCCACCATTACACTTGCTTACTGCTGACTGCCAGTAACAGCCTCCAAGAAAGAGAAACTTTAGTTTCATCTTCCCCAGAGCCTCTTTGTGCAGGGCTCCAGATAACAAGGAAGAAGGCACTGGCAGAGGCTGCTCATCAGAAGGTTGGTTCTCTTAAAGCATTGGAATAGTAAAAACCTGATAGCCTGGGAAGAGTGGGATAATAGTGCAAAAGGATTTTGTGGTTGTTGTGGTTTGGGTTTTTTAATATTTCTTTTTTTCTGCCCAGGACATTTTTTAAAGCCAAAAATATGGCAAATCCTACTTGGAGAAAGGGGGTGGATTAAAAAAACCTAGGCAAAAAAGCTGGATTATGGAGAGGTTATTTCTTCTGCGCTTCCTCCTGCTTCCAGGATTGTGTAACTGCATTAAAGGACTCTGCTGGTTCTTTGCTCTCTGTTTAAATTGGATTCTTTCTTGTCTACATGGACCCTTAAGATGAAATTCCTCTTAGCAAGGCTGTTTTGTTGTACGTGTTTCCTGGTGGGCTCTGAGGATGTGCTGGATGTAGCTGCTGTCCTGCCAGAAGCTTGCATGTCAGTCGCTTTTATATGTTGCTACCTCCTCTCCCTATGTGTTTGCTGTCCTTTCCAATGGGATGTGCTATTGGTGACAAGAGCAGCTTAATGTTGTGATCCTTCATTAATGTTCGCAACTATGAGAGAAGAAAGGATGTCAGTAATGCTCAGGATACAGTATACTATGCATTTCTAAAGGTGTAGAAAGCAGATTTACAGCGTGTTGGTGACATTGCTGTGGGTCTGCAGAGGGCAGCGCTCCGAAGTAGTGCGTTGCTTCCCTCGAAATGTCTCCCTCTGGAGAGAGACATGTCTTCCAATGCCTCTTCCCAATGTCTCCCTCTGACACATACCTGATACGGTGCCTTTGCCTGCATCCACACCGGGCTCACAGGCTGGTGTGTGCTGCCTGGTGAGCTAGGAGTGGGATTTCTGGAGGAGCATGCATCTCCCCAAAGGGTGGAGAGGAAAGGAGAAACTCCCCTCCCAGCACTATTCACTCAATTTCGGTTTCTATTCTGCCTTCTGAGCTCAAGAGCTGGTGGGGAGGAGCCAGACCACCCAGCAGTGGTTCTGCCTTTGCCAAGAAAGTCTCAACAAATGTGAGCAGGCAGGGGCTTGAGGTTTTCCTCCCTCTTTCTTCTACTAGTGCATAACTAGAAGAACTTGGCCTCAGGGCAAAACTTACTTGTAATTGTTATCTGCGAATGTTTTGTGTTGTTTTTTCCTTGGCTGGGAGAACAGGAGCACAGAGCTTTTTTGCGTTGATTTTTTCTTTAGACCTCAGGCTTCTTGGTTCTCAGGGTTTACTTGCTTGCTTAACCACAGGAAGACAAGGACTGGGGTTCAGACTTGGGACATTGCATTGAGTTTCTGCCTTTCTGGCTCTCTATGACAAGAAACCGGAGATACTCGTTTTCTACAGTATCTTTTTTTGCATGGAGCCTGGCTTCGTTATGAGGAAGTGAGAGAACATGGCTGCTTCCTGCATGCTTTCTATTCATGCCACACCAGTCTTGTGCAAAATATGACAAGTTCAACGATTGAAATGCCCGGGTCACTGACTTTAGCCTAGGTTCACTGCCCAGCCCTGCTTGGCACAAGGGAAATGGTGAACTGTGTCTATGCACTAGCGAAGCCTTTCTGGGATGGAGTGGGGAACATCAGTGGCTTGATGCTATTTTGAAGGCTGGATAAAATGGCAGAAAATGCAAAAACCTTGAGAAGATGTAAATGTGGGTAAGATAGGGTCACGCTTTGCCACACATCCAGTGGCAGCAAGGCAGCTGGCAGAAGGCTGCCTGCTGAAGAGTGATGGCGACCAGCTCGGTTGGGGGACCAAACTGAGCACTGTTGTAGAATCATAGAATTGTTAGGGTTGGAAAGGACCTTAAGATGATCTAGCTCCAACCCCCTGCCATGGGCAGGGACACCTCACACTAAACCATCTCACCCAAGGCTTCATCCAACCTGGTCTTGAACACTGCCAGGGATGGAGCATTCACAACCTCCCTGGGCAACCCATTCCAGTGCCTCACCACCCTAACAGGAAAGAATTTCCTTCTTATATCCAATCTAAACTTCCCCTGTTTAAGTTTTAGCCCACCAGCCCACCTCACAAGCATGTTGAGGTCCCTCTGGATGGCATTCCTTCCCTCCAGCGTATCAACTGAACCACACAGCTTGGTGTCATCGGCAAACTTGTTGAGGGCGCACTCAATCCCACTGTCCATGTCACCGACAAAGATGTTAAACAAGACCGGTCCCAACACCAATCCCTGAGGGACACCACTCGTTACTGGTCTCCAGCCGGGCATTGAGCCATTGACCACAACTCTTTGTGTGCAGCCATCCAGCCAGTTCTTTATCCACCGAGTGGTCCATCCATCAATTAGAGACAAGGATGTCATGTGGGACAGTGTCGAATGCTTTGCAAAAGTCCAGGTAGATGACATCAACTGCTCTACCATCAGTTCCGTAGCCCCATCACAGAAGGCCACCAAATTGGTCAGGCAGGATTTCCCCTTAGTGAAGCCATGCTGGCTGTCACCAAGCACCTTGTTGTTCTTCATGTGCCTTAGCATGCCTTCCAGGAGAATCTGCTCCAAGGTTTTGCCAGGCACAAAGGTGAGACTGACTGGTCTGTAATTCCCTGGGTCATCCATTTTCCCCTTCTTGAAAATGGGGGTTATATTTCCCTTCCAGTCGTCGGGAACTTCACCTGACCACCATGATTTTTCAAATAAGATGGACAGTAGTTTAGCAACTTCATTTGTCAGCTCCTTCAGGACCCATGGATGGATTTCATCAGGTCCCATGGACTTGTGCACATTCAGGTCTTTAAGATGGTCTCGAACCAGATCCTCTCCTGCAGTGGGCCCAAGGTCTCATTCTCACAGTCCCTGCGTCTACCTTCCAAGACTTGGGTGGTGCAGTCAGAGCCTTTGCCAGTGAAGACTGAGGCAAAGAAGTCATTCAGAACCTCAGCCTTCTCCAAATCCTGTGTTTTACTAACTCCAAATCCTGTGTTCTCCAAATCCTGTGTTTTTCTAACCATCTCTTTCCCCTCCCATCTCTTTCAGAAGAGCAACTAGGAATGGCTGTCCCAACCGTTGTGACGATCCAGCCACAGTACGGCATGGCCGTGCCCACTGCCTCAAGAAACATATGGCAGACAGGGCTGATGGACTGCTGCTCGGACTGTGGCGTGTGTGAGTGGTCCCATCTCTCAGCCATCAGCAGTGACATGCTGCAGTCCGTCCCATGCCCTCTCGGGATGCTTTTCTCACCCCAGCTGCTCGGGTTAATGGTGTGACAGCTACAGTTGTGTAGCCTGGTCCTCTCAGTTCCCCTCCCGATGGCAGTGGTGCTGGTCGGGCAGGCAGAGCCTCACATGCTGCTGTGTTTCTCTCCCTGCCAGTCTGCTGCGGGTTATTCTGCTTCCCCTGCCTGGCGTGCCAACTCGCTGGGGACATGAATGAGTGCTGCCTGTGTGGGACTAGCGTGGCCATGAGGACCCTCTACCGCACCAGATACAACATCCCGGTCAGTGGTTAACCTGCCCCTCACTGTGCTGTGGGGCTGGAATATGAGATGCACCCAAGCCCCCCTCTCTGCACATGAGGGATGAGCATAGGGTTGCAGCAATCTCCACTCACCCCTTTTTTTTTCCCACTTCTTTATCCTGCATGATGCCAGGAGCACAGGACAGGGGTTGGGCCACCCTCGGGCACACTGATCCCTGGGATGGTGTCCAGCAACACTCTCTAATCATTAGTCGGACACAACTCCTTCCCAGCAGCCTTCACTGGGGGCACAAGTCCTGCCTTCAGCTGCTGCTGACCACAGCTGATGCTTCCCCGTGCTATTGCCAGTCTTTGAAAGACGGGAAAGATTTGGGAGAATTGTGGGCAGACCAAAGAACAGATTAAGCCAGTTGCACAGATGAACATCTGTAATTGGATGCAGGAGAAAGGTGGACATTCATTTAAAGTACAAAAGTGAAATGGTTTCTTCCCAGCTGGGGGTTTGTGCCATCCCCAGACGAACCATGCTGGCCTAAAACCAGTGTGCCCAAAAAAATCTCCTTCTGTGTGTGTGCTCCCTCCCAGTTTTAAAACTCAGAAGCCAAAAGATAATTAGCTATCTGCAGCCTGCAGAAAGGGCTCTTTCTTTCCTTTCCACTACATGTGGGTTCTCCAGCACTGCTTTTTAGTATCTGCTACTCAGGACACTGCAGCCAGCCAGGAAACAAAGGGCACACAACCTGGAGTATGCTAAATCTCTTCCTGGCTGAAATGCGCCTTTTAGGAAGCCTTCACCCCTAACCAATTTCTTCCTAACAGGGGTCCATTTGCTCTGACTACTGTGTCAGTATGTGGTGCCTCATGTGCTCTGTTTGCCAAATGAAGAGAGACATCAACCGGAGGAAGGAGCTGGGCATATTCTGGTAAGCTGGGTATGCTGGTACTGGTTTATAGAGCCACTGCCTCAAGCAGTCATGCGGCTTCACAGAGTCTCTCCTGCCAACGCCTGACGTGTAATGCAGGGTCACTGCAGTGGGGAAATGGCCACGGGTGGGTAACAAGAGAGACCTGTCCCTCAGCACAATATTGCTGGGAAACTTGTGCAGGAAGGGGTGGGGAGGACTGAGAACATACACACGGTGTGGTGGGGCATGGCTCCAGTCCCTGATCCTCCTCTTCCATCCCATTGCAGATGCTGCTGTCCTCACTGCATCCTGCAGAGCGGCTGCAGGCAGGAGTCATCGCATTCTTGGCTGTTGGGAAATGCACCATGGAAAGGTTGCCTTGACTGTGGTTGATTTCCCTTTCCCTAGGTAACAGCAGCAATAAACAGCAGTTTGTCTTCCTGCCTGTGTGTGTGTGTGTCACTCTTGCACCACCTGAGAGCACCCAGCCTTCTCCTGCTCTGCCTATCTTGGCAGCCCCTGGTGCAGCTGAGATTTCCCTGTGCCTGCTGCAGAAACAGATTTTCACTGTGTTTTGTTAATTACTCCGCTTTTAGAAAGGATGTTCAATGCATAGGAGGAGCCAGTGTTGGATGAGCAACACACTCATCCAAGCTGTAAAACTTGGCAAAGTGGCTTCTGTCCCAGGGCAGAGCTGGGACTTCTGGTAGGTGAGTGATGGCTGCAGGCCACTGAGTGCTGAGGTGCCCCTGCTGTGGTGGTCCCAGTGGCCATCCAGGGCTGCTAGCCAGTCTGAACATAAAGCTGCCTGACCCCATTCCATCTCCTGGGTTGCAGAGACACGTTCCTCTATGGACCTGAGAAAGAAATCCCACCTGCCTGTGAAGATGACCAAAAGTTTAGAACAGCTTCCAGACAAGGAATAAGTAAATGCACTTCCCTGGCAGTATTCAAGGCCAGGCTAGACAGGGCTTTGAGCAACCTGGTCTAGTGGCAGGTGTCCCTGCCTGTGGCAGGGGGTTGGAACTGGGTGAGGTTTGAGGTGACTTCCAACCCAAACCGTTCATTTATTCTGGGGATCTGTGATAGTATACCTGGCTGGGTCGTGGGTTGGCCCATTCCTCTCCATGGGCAAACCCTGCCGCCTCCTGGCCACAGCCACGCACAGCACACCCGCGTGCTCAGCGATAGATAACGCTGTCCAAAAGGCAGAAGTTACATCCACCCCTCTCTCCATTGCTCTCTGAGAGATGCTAAAGGATTTTTGATCCCTACAAATCTTCCCCCATCTTCACTGACTAAGGAAAATATGATATTTTTTCCCCCTTTACCTTCTTTACCACAAACCTTGTGAAGGGCAGGTGGAGCTCTATCAGTGCAGTGGGTGGGTCTGCATCATGGTATGCCTAAACCCCAGATAGCCCAGAGATTCCTATGAATGATCCCTGGAAATGCAGCAGACTGCATTTTTAGCCTGAGAGGTGAAGGCTAGTGGAGAGGGGGAGAGAAGAAACACCACGCTGCTGCTTCATCCCACCATAGCATGGCTTGATTTTGTGGCTGTACCTCGAGGCAGCACCTGCATCACCCAGTTATGGTCAGTTCTTGCTAATGCTCAGGCTTAACAAAGAAAAGGCGCTGCACCTCTAGCAGCAGAATGATTAAGGCAGTGCCGGAGCCTGAATGCAAACTGTCCTCTACCAAAAGCAGTATGTCCCATCAGGGCTCTGTGGCTGCAGGAGCCTGTCAGAAGTGGCATCAAGCTTGCAGCATGCTGCCTTCAGCAGGGAAGCTGCAATTGCGCAAAGCAGCAGCTAAGCCGGTGTCTGGTCTGTTAGTCAGAGGGAGCGGAGGTCATTCACCAGGGGGCACCCAGAGCATATAAAGGATGAGAACCAGGAAAAGGATATGCATCTCCTGGGACAAAGGCGGCTCATCGGGTATGTATGGCTTGGCTTTGCTTTGCAAGAGCTGCGATGCAAAACTATGGAAACTGCTCATGGCTGAAGTGGTGTTGCTGGGGAAGGGGAAAGGGTGGAAATGGAGGTGAGATTTTCAACCTGGAAAGCTACTTCAAAGCTAAACTAGAGCATTCTGGGTGCTGCTGACAGGCATCTCAACAGAAGCGGCAGCAGAGGTAAAGGATAGCAGCTTTTGCACTGTATCATTCATTTGTACACGTATACATGTGCCATAGCAAAATGCCAGTTTATGACCTTGGTTATGGGTAAAATGTGCCTGCATGCACCTCAGGATCATGCTGTAGAGCTGTAGAGTTGGGGGCACCCAAGGTGATGTGCAGGGCCTGGGCAACCTCTCAGGAGAGGAGCATGCAGTGGAGGCTTCTCCAGGCTGCTGCCTGCTCATACCACAGCCTCCATCCATGCAGAGGCATGGTGTGCTCAGACTTGGGGAGAGGAAGGGTAAGTCAGCCCTTCCTGCAAAGGGCACAGTGTGTGTGTAGCAGTGAACATCACTTGGCTGCACTGAACATCACTGTGCTACTATTAATCTTGTTATCTGGTGGGGGGCAAGTGCTTTCTTTGGCACAGGAAGCTGGTGGGATCCTGTTCATAAACCTTTCCAGGCTGCTGCTCCCACACGTGCTTCTCCCTGTGGTCCCTGAAGTCCTGCCTGCTGCTGGCCATCCCTTTCCCTGCATGGCATCCCCATGGCCACCCTGTGGTCTGTCCCCTTCCCTGCCCTTCCTGGCTCCTGCCTCTTCTTAAATCACCCTGTGCCAAGGCTCTCCATGGGGCTGCCGTTTTGGTGTGCTGTGGGGTGTTACATTGGCTACAGAGGTGATGGGAATTACCTGGGGACTTCGGCATGAATAAGAAGGGACAGAGAACTGGGGCAGAGGTAGGAGATGTCCAGTGACATCTGATGGGTGCCATGGCCCCCACTGCACCCCTGAGTGGTGGGGTTGACTGTGCTCACCCCAGAGGTGTCTGCCAACAGCCAGGAGATGTGCTCCAGAGAAAGCACAGCAGCATTTTTTACTGCTCAGCAGCCCTGTTCTGTAACAGCAAGAAAACACCCTTGTCTTTTAAACCTCTGGTGGAGGCCAGTGGTGGAGAGAATCCCTCAGGGTAGTGGTCCCCCCTTAATGGCCACTTGTCACCTAATGGGAGCAGATACTGGTGTCTCAGATAGTGGCAGCCCAACCATGTTTCTGCTGCCTGAAGAAAGCAGAAAAAAAGTTATGAGCAAATCACTTTGAGAGTTTTTACAAGCCTTCTTCTATCTTACAGCATAACCCAACATCTCTTTTCCTCTCTATGTACTACCAGGGAACAAGGGTTGGCTATATGGCAACAGGCTGTTTCTGACAGCAGAGATGTGTCCAGGCTAGTCTGTAAATTATGGAGAGCTGCTGGCAGATCCACCAACCCCTTTGCCACCTGTTAACAATAGTCAGTATAGTCAATACAACTGCAATCTGTATCTCTACAGTGTCAGATGCGGGTAATGCACTCTATGGTGTCATGTGAATTCTGGGCATAGCTCCACCATATTCCTGGAGAATCGCCTTTAATACTCAAATTCTGTGCAGATGTGTAATTCTAACAAGGCAGAGTTAGATTAGATACTAGGAAGAAATTCTTTACTGTGAGGATGTAGAGACACTGGAACAGGTTGCCCAAGGACGTTGTGGATGCCCCATTCCTGGCAGTGTTCAAGGCCAGGTTGAATGGGGCTTTGAGCAACCTGGTCTAGTGGAAGGTATCCCTGCCCATGGCAAGGGGTTGGAACTGGATGAGCTTTGAGGTCCCTTCCAACACAAACCAGTCTGTGATTCTACAATCTACTGTGAAAATAATCCCGTTCCCTTTAGAGTGGTTTTAAAGACTTTACAGGAATTAATGCCATCATGCTTCGCTTCAAAATGTAAAAGCTTCCCCTGTTTTTCTTTTTGCTCCTCCTAGCAGCACGAAACTCATGCCCTCCCTTGCCACACAAGGGCAGGGAGCTCCAGGGCAGGGAGGGAAGGGCTGCTTGACAGGCACCCCCTGGACACTGTCACCCAGACAGGCAGCAGTGTTGCCTGCGCAGGCAGGATAAACATGTCAAAGCTGGGCAGGTGCAGGCAGGATGCAAACTGTGCAAGCGTTCTCTGTTGAACACAAATAATGTCCACCACAGAAATGCCCATGGGTTGTGCAGGGATGTGATGGTGGGCGAGAAGCTATCCAGGGAGCTCTCTTAGGACCCCTCCTGGGCAGAGGAGCAGCAGCCTGCAGTTACGGGGTTTAAAGCTCTGGCGGCTTTCCTGCTGATCATTTCATTGCTGAGGATGAGTGGCTGTGTGCTAGAAGAAAGAGGAAGCCTTTGCAGCTGTAAAAGCATGTGAGCATCTCATTCACATGCTGCTTACCAGAGTGGTGCTCAGCATGGGCACAGGGCTGGGAGTATATCTGCATGGGACTTCCTATTATTATAGAGGAGCATCCTCTATTATTGTTGTTATTATTATTATTAAAGCTCTAAAGCTGAAATGAGAATGGCAAAGGGTGGTGCTGCGCTTTGCAGAGGGTGGTGGTAGGCAAGAGGCCACAGGTGTAGATAGAGGTGGAGATGGAGTTATACGAATCAGGTGGGTTTATGGATTGTGCTGCAGATGAGGAGCTCTGCACTCACTGGGAAAGGACAGGCAGTAGAGGGGTTGTGAGGGCCCAAGAAAGAGGAGGACAAAGATGAGGCACTGGCAGGTGGAAAAGTGCTAGGAACTGGTCACTGGGCTTAGGATGATGGAAAGGGACAAGGAGAATCCACTGCCTTGAAGCGTGCTGAGAAAGGAAGTGAAGAACGAAGGGAGAGGAAGGCAAACAGGCTGAGGTGCTTGGTGACCAAAGCAAAGATGAAGGTGAATACTGAGAGCTTGGGAAAGCTAGGACTGAGCTGTAGTAGTTTTGGAGCACTGAAAGCATAAAAATACTAACACTATTTTAAGCCGATAATGATGAAAGATGAACTGAGGACGCGAAGACAGGATCAAAGTGTTGAAGCACTGAGGTTCTGAAGCAGAAGGATCTCTGTCTTTATAGAGGCATTTTACTTGCATAGGCAGGGGGATGCGGTGCTGCTGCCTTTAGTGGGGAGCTGGTTTTGTGGACGGCTTTGCTGCAAAGGACAGTGGCAGCTCCTGGCAGTGGGGTCCCCTTGAGAACCTGTACTGCCCTCTCAATCTTTGAATGAAGCAGCCTGAACCCACTTCAGAAACACCAGTGGCATCTTTCTCTGATGGCTTTTCTTTCCAGACCACAAACCGCCTAGAGGGACCCAATCCTGTGCTAGCAATGGCCTCTCAGCAAGTGATCACAGTCCAGCCACAGTGTTCAATGGCCCCACGGGCAGGCGAGTGGCAGTCAGGGCTGATGGACTGCTGCTCCGACTGTAACGTGTGTGAGTACTTATGTACCCCTTGCTCCTGGTGTTGGCCCACAGTGTGTTTCTGGTGTTTTCTCCACTCATTCTGCAGCATCACCTCTGTTGCAAACCCCACTTTTGTGGGTACCAGTAGTAAAGCAGCTTTCATCTGAGGTCAAGAGTCATGGCCCCCCGACCAGCTTTGTTCCGTTACCTCTTTCTTTGCACCCCTCAGCCAAGCCCATGCCCATGTCTTGCTGTCCACAGGTCTTTGTGGAACCTTCTGCTTCCCCTGCCTGGGGTGCCAAGTGGCTGAGGACATGGATGAGTGCTGCATGTGTGGCCCCAGCGTGGCCATGAGGACACTCTACCGCACCAGATACAACATCCCGGTCAGTGACCCAGGCATGCCCTGCTGGCAGTGACAGTCACAAGCTGGGTGCTGGGGTGTGAGTTCAGGGGAGGATAAGGTGGAGTCCAAGGGGAAGAGCAGTGGTAGGAAGTTGCATGGGCAGCCCCACAGGCAGTGAGCCAGGGACACATCTGCATCACTGCTGTGAGCTTCTGGTAATCCTATTGCACATCACCTTATCCCAATCCTTGCTGGGCATCAGCAGTGCACTGCAGGGCTGGAGTGAGATGCCCAAGAGTGTTGGTGATGAAAAATAGGAACACTTAAAAGCTGATGTGGGAAGGGGTTATTCAATGTCCCTTGCTCCACAGGGCTCCCTTCTGGGTGACTTTGCCTCCACTGTGTTCTGCCCCATGTGTGCTCTCTGCCAGCTGAAGAGAGACATCAACCAGAGGAAGGAGCTGGGCATATTCTCGTAAGGTGGGTGTGCTGGTGCTGGTTTATAAAGTCACTGCTGCACAGAATCAAATGTGTTCCCAGAGTCTCCCTTTCTAGAGACACCTGACTTAAGACACAGGGTTGCTGTGGTGTCAAAACAGCAATGGGCAAGTGAAAGGGTGACCTGTCCCTCAGCAAAATGTTGCTGAGAATCTCTTGAGGATGGGGGATCTGCTAAGGGCTCATCATCTGGGTCCAACCAGCACGGCTGGGACACACACACAGTGTAGCAAGGCATGGCCCTACTCCCTGACTCTCCCATCTCATCCCACTGCAGATGTTGCCGTCCTCACTACACCCTGCAGAGCTGCTGTGGGCAGGAGTCTCCAGTGCCTTGGGCTGTTGGGAAATGCACCATGGAGGGGTTGTCTTGATTGTGATTAATTCCCCCTTTGCTGGGCAACGCCACCAATAAACAGCAGAGTTTGTCTTCCTGCCTGTGTGTAACAACTATTTATTTCTCTGCATCCTCCTGCCGCACCAGAAGAGAGCATTTTACTTTTGTATGCTGTGTGGTCAGAGCAATGCTGAGGTTATCAGAGAAAGGAGACTTTCACTTGCAGTCCTACACTGGGATAAAACCAGATCACAAATTTCAATGAGAAGTTAATATAAACCAAAAGCCTGCTGTGGACAGCTCAGCTGCTCTGTAGACACTGGAGCATGCAGAGCTGGTGACAGCATCACTCTGTGCTCATAGGCCTGAGAGCATTGAACCCATCCCTGTTTCTGCCTGGACCATCTGAGCAGCAATGGGGGAGTGATGGTGATGGTGTGGGGATAGCAGTCCCATTCACTTCCCTCTCCACAAACCTTTCTGGGAGTCCATAGTGTTGGAGCAGGGTTCTTGGTGTGGTGAGACATCCACAGCTGCAGGTGTTGGGTGTAATACACTGTGGTGGAAGAGCTGGGAGTATCTGAACCTTGCTGGGGCTTGGGTGTGCATTATCCATTACCTGCCATGGTGAAGAATGGTGAAGAAGTAACTCAGGCTGGGGCTGATCCGCTGTTTTCACTGCTGCAAATCCCATTGTGCAATTCCCCTGGTGTGAAGAGGCTGTGGCCCCTGTTGACAGTGTGTACATGCGCATTTGCACATTTGAAACACGATGTGCAAAGAGAAGCAGAAGAAAGCGGTTGTGGCAAGGTGACAGCCTGAGCAGGGAGCAGAAAAGTGTGCGTGTTGCTGTGGGTCCAGGTGTTGCCACGCTGGCTTGTGTGTGACCCACAGGCCTGCTGGGTCACCTCTCCTCAATCCTGGCTGCTGGTCCCAAATCCCCATCTCTCACAGTCCGTTAGGCATGGGGACTGTGCCTCCCCCTGTGGCACAGGCAGCTGTGTGATTCAGGGTGGCAGGGTCAGTGACAGCCCTGCTGCTCTGGAGCTCATGGGTGAGCTGAGAGCTCCCAGGATCAAGGTCTTCAAAACCACCCAACCATGAGTGCTGGGGTTGCCCCTTTCCAGTGACAGGTGAGCCCTGTGCCCCAATCTCCCCTGCCACCATAATGGTTGTTATGGGGTCCCCCTAAAGTCATTCCTGCTTGGGGCCCTTCTATCCCTTGGCCCACCCTGGCAGGGGCTGCTGGCCCCCCATGGCTTTGCCCATCCCTACTCATGGTATCTCTTCTCCAGGTCTGTTTTTCTCCCAACACATACTTGGGACCAGAGCTTTGGCCTCTGCAGGGACCTGAACCCTCACAGGGCTCTTGTCGTAGAATCATAGACAGGTTTGGATTGGAAAGGACCTCAAGATCAGCTGGTTCCAATCCTCTTGTCATGCACAGGGATGCCTCACACTAGACCATGCTGCCTAAGGCCCCATTCAACCTGGCCTTGAACACTGACAGGGATGGAGCATTTACCACCTCTCTGAGCAACCTGTTCCAGTGCCTCACCAACCTCACAGTGAAGAATTTCTTCATGATGTCTAATCTAAGTTTACCCTCTTTCAGTTTAAACCCGTTACCCCTTCTCCTATTACTACAGTCCCTAATGAAGAGTCCCTCCCCAGCATCTTTGTAGGCCTCCCTCAGGTACTGAAAGGCTGCTATGAGGTCTCCATGCAGCCTTCTCTTCCTCTTCTCTTCCTCTTCATTCCTGCAGGCAATGCTGTGGCAGTGCAGTGAGGAGCCAGGAGTAGCCAGCCCTGGGCCTTGGTGCAGGGCACCAGTGCCCACCTCATCCGAGGAGTCTTAGAGGTGCAGAAACCGCAGGTGACGCCCAGTGAATGCCCAAAGCAACTGCTGGCAAGAATGGATCTTGGGGTCATGCTGCAGGAGAGGTGCTGTGCCACAGGGGCAGGAGGGTGGTGGTACTGCACCCACAGCAGAGCCCAGTGGGGTGAGCATGCCATGGCTGTGTCTGGCTGTTCCACAGAAAAACTCTGCTGTGGGTGGTGGTATTGGTTGTTGCTGCATACATGGCTGGGGGGCATTCTGAGGGCTGCTGGGGCTGTGTGGGGTGGCAGCAGGTCTGTGTCACCACATGGGGGGTCTCCCCCTGGTTTGGCAGAAGGAGCTGTACCCCGGGGCACGTTTCTCCTCTGGGGGTAGTTTCTCGGCACAGGGGCTGTGGGGTGAGCGTGACTGCTCCGGGCAGCAGGGTGACAGCAGCCCACGGCTTGTGACCCTACGGGAGCTCCACGCAAGGCTGATTAGGCTGTGCTGTGTCACTGCCACAACCTGCAAGGGTGACACAAGGGTGTGAAGACTGCAATACCAGGTTTGTAGGATGTAGTACACCAGGACACAGAAACTCTGTTTCTGTGAATTTATTACAAGTTACGACTAACAAGGCAAGTACATACGTACGATCACTTACCTACAGGCACACCTATATGTGGTTTTGAGGCGTTACCAGCACAATATTCGCCAAACCACCGGCAAGAGCCAGCGTGACAAGAGTAGTCTCCTCACACACCATCCATGTCAGAAGTGAGTCAGGCACCCCTAGCAAGGGTCTGCCTGGGCACGAATGCGCCTGACCCAGCACCCTCCCGCCCGGGACACGGCTTTGGTCCTCCCTCACTCGGCTCCTGCGCGGACAGCGGCTCCCGCGAGAACCGACCGGGGACCCCCGCGGCCGCACTCCCACGGCTCCCGGAACACTCCACTCCCCGGCGGCAAGGACCGCTACCTTCCTCCGCTCCGCCACCGCCTACCTCCGTCCCGCCAGTCGCCGCCGCACCGGGCTCCGTCCCCACCGGCGCCCGACCCGCGCAATTGGTCAGTGCGTCTCGGGGGAGGCCTGCGATCACGATGTCGAAAGATGGCGGCTCCGTGTACAGAGGTGCTGCCCTCTAGGGACCCCCGCTGCCTGCTGCAAAACGGCGGGGTATTGGAAGAGTGAAAGCTGTGGGTTGGGAGAAGAACAGTTTAATAATTGAAATAAAGGATAAGAGGAAGAATGCCAACAATGACAATAATGATAATAATAGAAGAGATAATAACAAGAGAAGAACATTCAGAAAACCCAAGTGATGCACAATACAACTGCTCACCACCCACCAGCCGATACCCAGCCAGACCCGAGCAGCCATCTGGGCCTTCTGAGTGACTCCCCCCACTTTATACACTGAACATGACGTGCTGTGGTATGGAATACCCCTTTGGCTAGTTCGGGTTGGGTGTCCTGTCTGCTTCCTCCCGGCTTCCCTTGCCCCTCCTCACTGGCAGAGCATGAGACTGAAAAGTCCTTGATTAGGGTAAGTGCAACTGAGCAACAACTAAAACATTGGTGTGTTATCAGCATTGTTCTCACACTAAAGCTAAAACAGCACTGCACCAGCTACTGGGAAGAAAATTAACTGTTACAGCTGAAACCAGGACACACTGAAACACCACCAGCCTTGGATACCAAGACCTCAGTGACACTACAGTACCAACAAGCCCTGCCCGTTCTACGTCCCCAGGGACACTGCAGTATCACCCAACTCATGCTGTTATGCCTCCCTGCTGACAGTGCAGTACTACCAAACTTGGACCGTAAAACCTCTGGTTGGATACGGCGATACCACCAAATTCAGGTTGTAAAACCACCACAGTGCCACTGCAATACCCCCTGCAGTACCACCAAAACACTGCCCTAATATTGGTCAACAAGAATATTACCAGCTCCTGTAAGACCTCCACAGTGCCACTGCAGTACTACCAAACTCCTACCAGAAGACCTCCTCTGCAGTACTGCAATGTCACCCAACTCCTCTCTGGAAACCACCCTCTAAAAGGCCAGGGCCAGAGGTACCCACCTTAGTACAGGGGCTACTCCAAGCACGTCCTGCTGAGCCAACAACCCCCACCACTCATGCATTCCCAAGAAGCCCCATGGAGCAGGAGGCTCCAGCCCATACTTCAGTTACAGGCTAAATTGAGGAAGAATACATCAGTGAAACGTAGCCCACTCCAACCTGCTGAGGAGCCTGCCCACTCGAGTACAATGTGTGATGTTAACACTGCAGTGGTGATTTAACTGGTGCTTTTCAGGGGTATGGATGTAATCACTCGGGGTGTGAATGTTAAGCCTTGCAGGGAAAAGGCCCATCATGTTAGTTTCATAATAAGGCAGACCAAAGGGACTCCTGACAGATTTGCGTATAATGCCAAACTGTAAGTACTGTACAGTACCATGCCAGCCTGATCCACCGCTCAGAAGTAATTCTTGGTGAGCATCCTATCAAGCAAGATTAGAATCAGGCTCCACAGTCTTTCCTTGCATTCATCACTTCAAGTCTCTTAATAGCAATTACTCAAACAAGATGTGCTTCCTTGTCCTGTTCCTGTAATCATAAATGATTATCACAGATTTAAAACATTGTCTCCAAGTGCTGGGGTGAAGGTGTAGAGCCCTTTTCACCTCTGAACAAAAAAGGGGCAGACTCAAGGACCTCGCTGTGGTTGGTGTGGTGGCTGCATCCATTCCAGCTTCTGAACTTCTTAATGGACAGCCAGGGTGGTGAGCTTCTGCCAGATTTAATATTAAACAGCAAATGCAAATGCATCAAAGCTATTTGGAAGCACTGTCTGATAAGGCTGTATCCCACTCGTGGTGTGTGTTACTTATTGTGAACTGACCAAAGGTGAGTTGTGTGCTATGGGTGTGCCCCACATCAGACGAAGCACAAAACACAAGTCAGAAAGGTTGAACTGCAGGTTTAATCAGTTACTAATATTAAATATTTTTATGATGTGGCCACAGGTTTGTCTAGAGATAGATGAGAAACGATCTATGAATGCTTGTTATGAATGCATGCTCATCTGACAAACAAGCAGACGGGGCTGGCATGGCCTTGAAAACATTAAGATAAAACAGAATTTATTTGGGTAGAATTTGTTAGTGAGCTTTGTGCTCACTTCTGTGGGTGGAGGTTTCGAGCCTTGCAGAAGTACATGAGCCCTGAGTTCACCTGATCTCCTTGAGGCCTCTGCTGTAATAAAACCAATGAGATAGCAGAGTCTGCACTCTGAAGAAATCTGTAGTCTTATCACTAAGGAATCGTGTTCTAACATTATTATTGTTATTATTGCTATTCTAAATGTAAATAGCTATATACTATCTTTCTACAAGACTATCAAGCATTTCAGCAGCTAACAGAGTTGGTAACAGTCTCAGCAGCAGCCTCTCTAGTACACGTACTTTAAGAAAGAAAACTTCACAGTGAAGTTCACTCTTGGCCACCTCCCAAAGCTGCAGAAAGACAGGCTGAATAACTTTCACTCAGTGTTTCAGACTGTATTGAAAGCATGAGCTGTGTCTTTTCTTTAGTGTTCTCTATGTCTGAAGACAGGAACATCTGTGTATTCACAGAATCAGGCGTGGAATTCCAGGTAGGAAGGGACCTCAAGGATCATCTGGTCCAACTTGTCTTGGCAAAAGCAGGGTCTAGACAAGATGTCCCAGCACCCTGTGTATCTGAATGTTAAAGGTGTCCAAAGCTGGGGAACCCACCAGGGAGATTATTCCAAAGGCTGATTTTCCTTATTGTGAAAATTTTTCCTCTTGTGTCCGATCAGAATCTTCCCAGGAGTAACTTGTACCCATTATCCTCATATTTTTCATGTGCCTCCTTATAAAAAAGGAGTCTCCATCTTCTTTGTAGCCACTCTGTAAATGCTGGAACATGGTGACAAGGTCTTCCCTGAGCCTTTTCTCCAGTCTGAACAAACCCAGTTCTCTCAGCCTTTCCTCAAACAACAGGCTTCCCACTCCTTGGATCATCTTTGTGGCCCTTCTCTGGATCCTCTCCAGCCTGTCCTCATTTTTTCTGCATAGCAGGGAGCAAAACTGAACACAGACTCCAGGTGTGGCCTGAGAAGAGCTGTGTACAGTGGGAAAATGACATCTTTATTTCTGCTGGTGATGCCCATGTTGGTGCATCCCAGCATCCTGTTGGCTTTCTTTGCCGCAGCAGCACACTTCACTCACATTGAGCTTCTTGTCTGCCAGGACCTCCAGGTCCTTTTCCACAGAGCTTCTCCCCAGCCAGGTAGATCCCAGCCTGTGCTACAGTCCTGGATTATGTTTTCCAGGTGCAAGACCTTCCACTTGTCCTTGTTGAACTTAAGGTTCTTGTTAGCCCCCTCTTCCAGCCTATCCTCTCCCTTCCAAAGTATCCACTTCCCCTCTCAGTTTGGTATCATCATCAGACTTCATCGAGGTACACTTGATTCCATTTCCAGATCACTTATGAAGACAGTGAACAGCGCTGGGCCCAATATTGATCCCTGGGGGACCCCACTACTGACAGGTCAACAGTTTGAAAAGGAGCCGCCAGTTCCCACCAGTGCACACACCACTTCTCCAGGCCATAACACATCAGCTTCTCTAGGAGGAGGCTCTGGGAAACTGCACTGAAAGCCTTGGAGAAATCCAGGTAGACAATGTGCAGCTCTTGGCCTACACCAACCAAGCAGGTTTCTTTGTTGTGGAAGGCCATCAGGTTTGTCAAGCACAATTTGCCCCTGGTGAATCCGTGCTGGCTTTTCCCAATCATATGCTTCATTTGGCTTGTGGTATCCTCTAGGAGGATTTGTTCTATAACTTTCCTGGAGACTGAAGTTAGACTGATGGGACTGTAATTTCCTAGATCCTCCAGTCTGACCCACTCAGAAATTATCTGAAAAAAAAACCCAAAAAACATATTAGGTTTTACCAGTAGTGCAAATGTCTGTGAGATTTTAACATCTGTGGTTTTTAATCTCAATTCTTTGTTGTTTTGTTTCAGCATGAGTGCCAGTCATGAGATCAGTAGCTACTTCTTACTGCATCCTGTGCAAATGCTTTTTTGTGACTCACTTGGGAACAGCCCAGATCTGATACTACGAACAGTCTGCTGAGATTTCCAGGCCAGACAGAAGATATGCTCCTTGAATGAGACAACAGGTTTTTTGCATCTATTTGGTCATATGTGCACCTTCTCAAATGCTACTGTGACTATGCAATGCTTTCAGCTACCTGCTAGGATGCTTAAAATTCTTGTATAAATACAGTACAGAGTTATTTATAAAATTACTGATAAAGAACAAGATCCCAGGAGTGTGATGCCTGAATGATGGAATACTTACCCATCCCAAGTTACAGCCAGCTAAAAAAGCTGGCCTTGTGATGTTCTGGCCTGGGCAGCTCTTACAGGCAGCCTTGATGTTTACTAATTAGTGATGAGTCTTGGTAGGAAAATGCGAGCATAAAGCTTACGTTTTTAACTGGAAACTGTCTGTAATGTATGCTTTTCTGCATCTCTCTGCCAAGGGGAATGACTGTGAATGCACTGGTTCCTGCTTTTGCCAAAGCAGTGGCAGAGCCCTCCTGCATGATGGTACCTGGGATGCTGGCCAAGTGCAGGCAGCCTGTCTAAACTGAAGGATTTTCTTCATCATCCTCCAGGGCCTGGCCAGCCTCATCTTGAGTTACTGGACTCAGAAGCTACAGCAGTCCTGGCAAGCCAAACTGTGTCAGAGAGCAAAATTGAAGAAATGGTGTGCCTGTCATCAGTGCCGCTCCAGATGTTAGTGCAGCTCCTGGAAAGCTGTGGGCTGCACTGCCCAGTGGGCCCAGTTGGGCAGACAGCATGTGCCAGAGACCAATGCCCCTGCCTCATATAATGAAGCTGCCTCAGCTTTGGTTCCCTCCATAACATCACTTACATGCCCATATGTTATCATGTGAAAACCCCACTCTGATGGGCTCTGTACAGCATTCACACTATTGCAGGTATTTTCAACTGAAGAAAAACATACTAAGGTAATAACCATCTGGAGGCCACTTGGGGAGAAGACTTCACAACCAGCTGTGCCTTGTCTGACATGCCCTGCTGGCATTCAGCAAGCAAATCTAGAAGAGGGTCATAAAGATGTTCAGAGGGCTGGAGCACCTCTGCTAAGAAGACAGGCTGAAAGAGTTTGGCTTGTTCAGCCTGGGGAAGAGAAGGCTCAGGGGAGATGGTATAGAAGCCTTCCAGCCCCTAAAGGGGGCATAAAAAAGTGCTGGAGAGGGACTTTTTATGAAAGCAAGTAGTGATAGGACAAGGGTTAATGGATTTAAACTGAAAGAGGATAGATTCAGAAGTTCTTGACTGTGAGGGTGGTGAGGCACTGGCACAGGCTGCCCAGAGAAGTTGTGGGTGCCCCATCCCTGGCAGTGTTCAAGGCCAGGATGGACAGAGTCTTGGGCAACATGGGCTAGCGCAAGGTGTCCCTGTCCATGGTAGAGGGGTTGGAGCTGGATGAACTTTAAGGTCACATTCAGCCCAGACCATTCTTTGATTCTGTGACTCATCATGCCCTGCCGGCTCTGCCAGACATGGCCATCACTGCAAGCCTGTGGCAGTGGAGATGCTGTGCTTCATTCAGATGTCACCACTGCTGATGCGGTTGGCTCAGGGCAGCTAAAAGACTTGCTCAGATAAAAGGAAAAAAAGTGGAAGTTTTGTCTGGCCCTGCCCTCCCCACGAAACTCTGTGGTGCAGGGAGAGGGTGGAGACTCCCTTGGGTAACGGAGCGCAGGGAACCCAGCTCACGGCTCGCAGCCGTCTTGCAGCAGATGTGATGACACGGGTGGGACTGCCCTGCCCTACAAGCTGAGCGAGCCACCGGGGCTGCCTTCCTACACACCACGCTCTTCTCATCTCTGCCTCCTGCTTCCTTTCCACCACCTCTGCCACTTCCTCAGCAGCCCTGCAGCACTGACCCAGACCTGCTGCTGGTAAGTGAGCTGGTAGCAGCAGTTCAGCCCTTTTATTGAGATATAGATAGATAGATAGATAGATAGATAGATAGATAGATAGATAGACAGACAGATAGATAGATTTAATTCGGGTAGTGACTTGCTTTCTCATCCATGAATTGCTTATGCTGCCGTTGCTAAGGAATTAGATTCAACAGCTGTTTCCCTCCAATAGCCAAGGAAAACACAGAAAAATGCTTGCTACATTTTCCTAGCTTTTCAAGGGAAATTAATAAAAATATGTTTTATAAATGGGGGACAAAAGCCTCAAGGCTTAAAGTAAAACCATTAAAAAGGTGAAAAGTTAGAATATTTTGCAAGAGCTCCCATACTCGGAGTTTGCCCATGCATGTTAATGCACTGCAGATAGCACACGTGCAAATGCCTGCACACACAGGGTGCTGTTTACTCAGTCCCCAGTTAACACAGAGGGCTCTTTTCACAGAAGGTAGGTTACAAATCCCTAGTAAATCAGTTGGCAATTAACTTACAGATTGCCTGAATCGCATTATCCTTTTTTACTCAAATGGTTTTAACTGCCTACACATGTTCCTGAGGAAGAGGACTGTATGGTCCTGGGCTGGCAGTACTAGGCTGTACTGTCCTCTTTGTGTGTCCACATCCATTCTCTGGCCAGTCTACACCCCTGTAAGTGCATGTGAGTAGGGGAAATAAAGGTATGCTTCCAACCTCTCTGAATTTATATGTATCCAAAGCCTAAAATGTGCATCTGTAGTACATGGTACTGTTTCAGCTTGCAGGTTGCAAGACTGAACTTTGTACCCATTAAACTAAGAGAAATAATAGCTCACTTAACTGTGATTTCTCTGACAAGTTCAAGTATTCAGAAAAAAAAAAAAACAGGCTATTTTTTAAGGGGGTTGTGACAACTTCCTTTAGAAAACTCTGCTGGAAAATGCCCATGTCTCCAAGATTCTTCCTTCTAAAGTAATTTCAGTGCTTATTCTCAATAGAGAAGTACTTTGACTAACTGCCTGGATTTAAAAACAAAACAAAACAAAACAACCCCCAAATAATTAAAAACCCTTTAAAATGCACTTCTGAATTTTGCCATTCAAAATTTACTACAACTCCTGTGCTATTGTTTTCTTGGTTTGAAGTACAAATCCTGCTGGTGCCAAAAGCTTCGCCAGAAGACTGGCAGGAATGAATGCTACTTAGCTTTCTGTATAGACAACATATCTTAAAGCATACAAATAATTCACTGAAATTGCTTGACAGACTCCAGACATGGTATTGCTGTGGTTGAAGTCTGTTTAAGTCAATGAAACTTTGCAGTATATTTTGTTGTTGTTTGATGTTTTGTTTTAGTGTCCCTGTGTCTGTAGGGGAAAATGACACTTTGTACTTTAGATGTCTCAGAAGAATACACAGGAAAGTGACTGTATGAGACCTTCATTTTTTGTGCATCACAACAGTCAGTGGTCAAAGTGACCTTAAGAAAGCAGTTTAATTTTGCCGTTAATTAAAGGTTAAATCTCAAGATCCAGTAGTTTGCCTACTGACAAATTATTATGATACTGTCTCTGAAGAAAAGGGGCTTGTATTGGGCTTGAACTGAAACTGATGCTGGCAATAAAAACATTTTGGAAAAAAATGAAATTTGTAAAATTCCTAAAGAGTTCATAGATTTTTATATTTAGCTAATGCAAAAATAATGTATTATATCCAGAGCTAGTATCATGAGGATATGAAATGCATTAACAAATATTTCTGAATACAGCAGACAGTATATGTTGTCATTGAATCTTCTGCTTATTTCTGATCTGAAGTAGGTATTTGTATGACATTGACAATGAGTTCTAGGAAACTTCATTTAAAGAATTTTAGTTTGCAAAGAAGTTGATTTGATTAACATTCATCATGCCTGTTTCTTTGTCCTGCACATGCTCTGACTTAAAATGTTTTGTGGTTGTTTGTCACATTAAATGTAATAAATAATTCTTTAAACAAGACCTAAAGCAATATTCTAAAAAGTCCATTCCTGAAGAGCTATTGCAAAGAGTCAACAGTTATATGAGCTGTAAAGGCTCATGTCCCTGTACTCCTGTGGTGAAGTTTATCACTAGATCAAAAATTGAAAGGTTGGTTTCTACAATACCAAACTGTTTATCTCACTGCAAATACTTACCCACAGTGTAAAAAAAAAGGTCTCCAAAAAAAAAGAAAAGCAAATCAAAAGCCTAACTCTAGTACACAGGTATAATTTCCACTGTTAGCACTTCATCTTCTCTCAGCACACTGTTAGCCAAGATCCAAATTTCCACTCTCAGTGGTTTCCATGAGTTACTCACACAAAGCCAAGGCTGCCCTAATCTTGTAGTGACTGCCCCAATAAGAGGGAGAAGTTGGGCCGTGGGCCTTCCCAAGGCTTCTTCGCACCAGCATGTCCAGAACTGTTTCATTTTGTCGTCCCATGGAGCTGCTGTGATGAAGTCCTTGCAACAGTTAGTTACGCTCCTTTGAGAGAGACAGCTAGCACAGATTTCATACAGCAACAGCGAAATAACCATTCCAGTTTTAAGCGGATGAGTATTCTTCAGTTTCTTTCTGTAACAAATTCTAGTAGTTCTGAAACGGTAAAATTATTTTTAGTATTAACCCAACATCTGAAATAGATTTTTTTTTCCTTTAACTCTGATAAATGGTGTATGCCCACAAATACACCTTTGCCTGAAAAGGCAGCCATCAGGAAGAATAGCACACAGACAAATCCATGTCTTCCACCTACAGCATCCCACCCTATCACTGCAAGCAACAGAAGCTCACTGCAGCTATGAGGAGCCACGCTGATTTACATCAGAGGTCTAGCTAGAATGTATCCAGCCTCTGCTTATCGCTGCCAGTAACCAACTCCTTCACAAGAGACAGTATCAAAGAACGTTATTTTTCCCTAAGAGATTTGGACAGTTGGTGGCCTCAGGCTTTCCTGAACTGGAGGTTTCTGGTCGACAGCTGTATTAAATAGCCATTGAGAAACTGTCTGCTATGGATATGTCTAATCCTTCTCGTAACTCGTTTATTTATCTTGCTTGTGCAGTGTTCTTTGCAGGGGTGTGTACAGTCTAGTCATAGCTCAATTGGTAAATTAAATTTAACTTCAAAGTACTGTCTGTTCTTAAGAATGACTGTGAAAGTTGTGTGATCCTGTGTTTATGAAAATAGATTCTGATTCTGTGCTTATTGTCTGCCAGTCAGGTTCAGTCTGGAAGATTAACTCTGTTTCATTCCTACATGAAAAGTTTGTTTTCTAAAGAGCATTTCTGCAATTTCTGTACAAAGCTTTTCTGAGTTAGGTTTTGTTGCTGGTTTGTGAAAGAAAAAAACACCTAAACCCCAACAAAGCAACTAACAAATGAAACAATGAAGAATTTAATTATTCTGCTGATAATACTGGAGTTCAGACTCCACTTTCCCCCATTTGCTCAAAATTTTACATCAGCAATACTGAAACATTAAGCTGAGAAAAAAATCTGATAAGTGAAATACTGTTCTCATATGCTGAGTGTTTGGTACTTTGCTTGGCATACTAGCAAACATCTGCTCAGTGTGTGGTGGGATTTCCAGCAGAAAGCTCCCACTGTGGTTCTGAATGCATGTCTCTGCTTTACCAAAGCATCCTTGCAAATGCCAGTGTTTGATGTCAGCCAGGTTAGCCCAGAAATTACTAGATAAATAGCCTTAAAAAAATTAACTGCCCTCCTAACAGGTAGGTAGGTCTCCTCCAGCACAAGTAGAAAAAAGTGTAGGCAGTTTATCAATAACAGGCTTCCAGTCTTTAAATGTTGCACATTTAATTGATGTTCAACTTACTTAAAATCCATTTTAGTTAAAATTAGAGCTAGACCCATTATAATTATATTTCAAACATGGTTTCTTTTCATTCTAGGAAAATTGGGCCAGGATTACTGCTTACTAAACCAGTAAGACCTTGTATATTCACCAGCACAGAAGACTGCAGTTTTGACAGAAAAGGCAGCCTTGGGCTAGATTTGGGATAGTATCACTGGGAGACAGATGAACCCTCCTTTATGTGCATATAGGCTTGTTGCTGAAAGTAGGGCTTCCAGGGGTTTAACAGTGCTGATAGCCACAAAGGAGAGTTCAGCTGTCTGGTCAGGCAACCTTAGCAAACTAACAAAATAAGGGCTTGTTTTTTTATGCGATCATATGATTGTGTTAGGTTAAACAGCTTTTTTTTATGTCTCTTTTTATTAACTGCTCTCATATTAATTAAACGTTTCTGAAACAGTCTCATAATTTGCCTTCTACCTTGCTGCAAGCTAGGGTGCAGGACTGATCATCCCAGAGCTCCTAGCTGCTCATCTTCCCTCTCCGTTCTCATGAGCTACTGCATTAATAACGTGTCCTGTAGTGACAGCTAGAGTTATTAGACTCAGGTGAGTCAATATGATATATAAAGAGAGGCCATATCCTGCCTCCCACCTAAATAGCCCTGTGACACTTAGGAAGCACAAAGGGGACAAAGGTCTGCCTGCACAGGGGGACGCCCCTGCAGTGCAGGTAGATGGCTCATAGGCAAGAGCCTGTCTGACGGGGAAGTGAGCTAACTTTAGTTATTCCACAACTACCTTCTAGTTATTAGATGGAAAGCAAATCCAAGGAAGAGAGTTACTTGGTAGCGGTGTCAGTTTCCATGTTGCTATACTGTTGGCAAAATTATTTGGATTAAAAAATAACCAAACAATTTTAGATTCTGTTACCTTTACTCAGGAGTGCTAGAGGTTGGAGGAGCATCTTTACTTCCAAACTATCTCTTTAAAAGAGTATCTAATAGGCAAATATTAAGCACATTCAAAACTAGAAAGAAGGCTGATGAAGTGGACAGGCAGAAGGTCATTTTGGACCTCAATAATTTTGAGCAAGTTTTTCAATGAGTCACCTGTTGTACCTGTGGTTTCCAACAAGAATGCAGTTTATGTACAGCCCTCTCTGCCAGGGGCAGCCCTCCTGAAGGAGCATAATGTCATGCTAATGTCTGCTGTGAGAGGTATCTACTTCCATGTGCCAGGAGAATAGATGTAGTTGGTACCCATGGCCAGATGCTGCTTCAGTGAGGTCCCGGGGCGGGGGGAGGAGGGGTTGGTGTCACTGCGAAAGGACCTGGGGTTGCTCCATGCTGGACACAGCTGCCTCCAGCTGGGACTAGCAGACCCACCACTGGCCAAAACCAAGTGTGTCTCAGTGATGCTGGTAGTGCCTCTCTGAACACCTGTTTAAGAAAGGGTAAAAGATGCTGTGCAGCAGCTGTGAGAGAGGAGTGAGAAAACGTCGGAGAAACAGCCCTGCAGATACCAAGGCCAGTGAAGGAGAGGGAGGAAATGCTCCAGTGCCTGGAGCAGTGGTTCACCTCAAGAGGGCACCAGCTGGGTGGGCATCAAGGTCAACCCACCACAACAAAACCATCAGGGTGGAGGGAGAGTCTTCTACATCCCTAATACTGCAGGGGTGCGTAGCAATATGGCAGACTCGGCTTCTCATCAGCTCTGTGAAATCTCCAGGTCTGAGCCCACAGGACGCAAACTTCATGTCTGAAGGAAAGAGACATAGATGGACATCTACAAGTTTCACAGTAGGTCCAGTGCCGAACCCTGGATCCAACAGACACATCTTTCCTCTCTGTACCTAATTGAATCTTTCCCATCCTTGTTTTTTCATTTCTAGAGGAAGGATGGCAGAAGGCCGGCCACACTTAAGTATTCAGATGTCAGACTTGAATACAAATGGCACCCCCAGCAGAAAGCAGTCCTCTGCAGACTTAGCTGTTAGGGGAGGAAGCGTACTCACTTTCCACAGCATCTCCTACCACGTGAAGATGAAGACTGGGTTCCTGTGTTATCAAAAAACAGCTGATAAAGAAGTTTTGAGAGATGTCAAGTACGTATTTAAACATCTCTTTAGAGCATGTTTATGTAGTTTTTCTTTCTGGACTGTTGAGCCTACTCGAGTCACTGAGCCACTAAGCACAATATACAGAATTTGATCAAGATTAGAAAAAAATGTGTGCATGTATGGTTCCTTTGTGTTCGCTATCTACTGTGCTCAAGCTTCCCAGTGGGTCCCAGTGGTCCTCAGTCATTAGACTTGTACAATAGTACTAGTCTGTACAATAGAGAGCTCACACTGCTGGCACCCGAGAGGGACTGCCTTCTTGACTGCTAATCGGCATAGGGGCACACAAGCCAGCTGTGGTTGTTCTACACTACTTGGCAAGTCTCCCACTGTGCTGTGGTGTGTAACTGAGATACCAACAGCCTGCCCCAATGCTTGCATCTCCTTTGCTAAGGTAGCCTTTGGGAAGGTTAATTTTGGGGGTTTTCACTTAAAGTGTTTGATACAGTAATATAAATGAGGGTTAGGTTAACTTTGAAGATATTTGAAGTTTTCTCCCATCCCCAACATTGAGCACTACTGCAGTAAAGCGATCACATTATTATGGCCTTTGTTCAATAATATATGCATAAAGTTTGTCCATTCATAGTTCAGTAGTTAAGCTAAATGGCAAGCACTCATACAGTATGCCATTCCAAGGCACACATGACTTTCAGCTCCCTAGCCCCAATCTCTATCATAAATATTCAACCTTTTGTGTAGCTCTGTCTGTCCCACTCTTTGCACATGCAATTTCCACACCTTCTAAACATGAGCTCTTAAAATCTTGCCTACTTTCCTCAAGAGGCGTAAGTTATGGTAACTCGATTGACATTGGTCATTTGCAATAATGTGAACAGAAGGCCCATTTTGTGGCTTATTGTAAAAGATTGATGTTAAACACGCATTATGCTTTTCTCTTTTAGAAAATGCAACATCTGCATTTATTTTATTGTTATATTTTATATTGTTATTTTGTGTTAAAATCACATATAATGTATACCATAACTTGTGTATAATCTATATGCTTCTTAACCTGTGGAACCATAAATTTTCACAATGACAAATTGAAGGCAACAATTACAGGAAGGAACAAATATCCTCAGGAAGAGCAAAAGGGGCAGCTGTTCTGGGCCAGGTACACAGCCAAGTACTCAGATCACTGATAACAACCAGTACCAGAGTGCAGTTCAAGATAAACCTAGTATCATAAAAAGCAGGCAGGTATTTATATGTGCAATGTGATTCTTGTGTACACCAAAGTTTGTTGAGCATGCATTTTTAGGGGCTAGTCAGGAAAAAGAGCAGATATACCTTCACATTCTCCATTGTCCTGGTTTTGGCTGGGATAGTTAATTTTCTGCCTAATAGCTGGTGCAGTGCTGTGGTTTGGATTTAGTATGAGAGAATAATGCTGATAACACACCAATGTTTAGTTGCTGCTAAGGAGTGCTTACCCTCATCAAGGACTTTTCAGTCTCTCATGCTTTGCCATTGAGGAGCTGCACAAGAAGCTAGGAGGAAGCAGAGACAGGACACCTGACCTGAACTAGCCAAAAGGGTATTCCATACCACAGCACATCATGCCCAGTATATAAACTGGGGAGAGCCAATGATCGCTGCTCAGGGCTGCGTTGGGCATTGGTCAGAGTGTGGTGAGCAATTGTGTTGTGCATCACCTGTTTTTCTTCAGTTTTATTCACCTTTTCCTTTTTAATTACTATGCCTATTATTATTATTTTACTTTATTTAAATCATTAAGCTGTTCTTATGTCAGCCCATGGTTTTTACCTTTTTTCAATTCTCCTCCCCATCCCACCAGGACAAGGGGAGTAAGCAAATGGATGTGTGGTACTTAGCTGCTGGTTGGGCTTAAAACACAACATCCAGCAAAAAGATAGAGAGAAGGCAGCTGTTTTTCCATATACTGAATAATTTCTGTAGGGTCTTTTTCCCCAATACTTAATCTTTTCTATCTGGCCTTTGAGTTCCATGTGGCTTAAAATCGGATACAGAGGAACTATCAATCAACTGCAATTTCTGTAAGTGCAGACAAATCCCTAATATATTCTGTCTCTAGGGCCATTATTCTCTCTGATAAGAGAATAATACTGTTAGAACTGAATGGGTTAAAATAAGTGGTTGCTTCACTTCTAGAGATCCATGGAAGAAAAGTATGCATACGAGTTTTGCTATATTTTACTCACAATTTCTGTATTGTCTTCATTATACAAGGAGTAGTTCCTGAATTAGGAATAAAAAAAAAAGAAAGGTGGAGTTTAACAGATCATAAATATCGCTTGTGATCAGGCAGCTTCATTAATTCCAAAATTAATGGGATGCAGAATGTAGTTCTACAGGTAATTTACACTAGCCTACCAGGTGACACAAGAGACAAAATCACCCATCTATTTTATAAAACCTATCTGTTTTGTCTTACAGTGGCATCATGAGACCAGGACTGAATGCAATTTTGGGACCCACTGGCAGTGGTAAAACTTCGTAAGTTCCCTCTTTGCCCTACTCAGAAATTACACCAAGGAGAGAATGACTCTGCACATATTTAGCAGTAATGGACAATACTTTCAGGGAAAGATTTTGTTTTCATTTAGATCTGTGCATATCTCACTGGTTTCTGAGAAATACCTGAATTCAAATAAGACAATCACCTTACATGACACAGGTGTAATTCAATTTTAGTCCACACTTTCCTGAGACACGATCCTTACGTATCATTCTTGGGTATGCTATAGAACAAATGGACACAAATGCACTATGAAATTGCACAGATATAATTTCTTAGGAAACCAGGACAAGAGAAACTCAGCCCTTGAAAGTGGCTGGGTTTTTTCTAAATAGCTAAAAAAAACCCATGGGATACTTTCATGTAGCTTTGTGTTCCATGAACTGGGTTTGTGGTTCAGGGAGCTTATCTCCTGCATACTCATCTGATGAAGTAACCAACTTTTCTCCTAGTCTGCTCGACATTTTGGCTGCAAGGAAGGATCCCCAGGGGCTTTCTGGTGACATTTTGATCAACGGAGCTCCTCAGCCTGCCAACTTTAAATGTACCTCTGGATACGTAGTACAGGTAAGTATTTTTTATCACTCTACCGATTTTACTGTCCTCTTCTGACTGCAGTTGTAAGAAGTTGCTGCTGTGTTCCAAGCACATTGCATTGAATCAAGAATCAAGGCTGGTGTGGTATCAACTCTTCTTCACACATCCACCCTCACTGGAAAAGATACTTTGCTTTGTGTTTGGATCTCTTTCCTTAATGCTCTAAGTCAACAAGAGCAGGCTCTTTGGATCTCTTCTTGTTCTCCATTTGGGGGAACAGCCATAGGCTAAAAATATGCATGGAGTATTTTCTAAGTATGATGCTTTCTAGTAGTCTACAGCTTGTACCTCTGCATGCCCAGGGACAATGTCACTAGGTCTCATTATAAGAACAGCTTTGTTCTGCTAGGGTGTGCTGGGGAGAAAGACATGTGAAGGACAAAAGAAGGAAAACTGTATCTCCTAATTTCTTCCCCTCTCCACTAACCATGCTTAGCAGCATGCTTGCAGTTTATCAAGACCTGAAGAGATACATCTGTGAAAACCCCTCAAAGCACACATAACTCTCTGAACTGTCTACAGCTCACAGATCCCTTTTGCAAGAGACAAGCAGCTAATACTGAAAAAAACTACCCTCCTTCTCCTTTGCTGAAACAAGCTTGGAAAACCTTCACCCTACCCCCTGTGGAGCCAACATCTCTTTCCTTAGGTCCCTTTAGCCCTTCAGTATCTCACTTAATGCCTCCAAAACTCTGACTAAGGTAAGAAGAGGCGAGGGATAGTTTTAAATACGTCATTATTTGTGCATTTTGGTATCATGCATGATGGAGGATGTTCCTGTACTGCATTGTTTTATGAATAAAGGCAAATACAATTACGTGCATGAAATCAACTCTGCTATGACTGACATTGAAGATGCACCTTACTGCATGTTCTGGCAGCTGCTACCATCCCTTAGCATGCAGGGACAACATAAAACACAAGTAGATGCAGTTTTCAGAGGAAAAAAATAGAATTGCTAAGTGATCACCAAGTAGCTAAATTTGCCTTATTTTGTTTTGGTTTTTTTAAATGAAGGATGATGTGGTGATGGGAACCTTAACTGTAAGAGAAAATTTGAAGTTCTCAGCAGCAGTCCGTTTGCCAAAGTCAGTGAAGGAATATGAAAAAAATGAACGAGTGAATCAGATCATCAAGGAACTGGGTTTGAGTAAAGTGGCAGATTCCAAGGTAAGGTGTGTGAGTATGGTGCTTAAATCATGAACAAATCATAGAATCATAGAATGGTTTGGATTGGAAGGGACCTTAAAGCTTATCCAGTTTCAACCCCAATGCCGTGGGCAGGGACACCTCACACTAGACCAGGTTGCTCAAAGCCCTGTCCAATCTGGCCTTGAACATTGCCAGGGATGGGGCAGCCACAGCTTCTCTGGGCAATCTGTGCCAGTGTCTCACCACCCTCACAGTAAAGAATTTCTTCCTACTATCTAATCTAAATCTCCCCTCTTTCAGTTTAAAGCCATTGCCTCTTGTCCTATCACTATCTGCCCTTGTAAAAAGTCACTCTCCAGCTTCCTTGTAGGCCCTTTTTAGATATTGGAAGGCTGCTCTAAGGTCTCCCTAGATATTAAGTGATTTCTTTAATTAACCAAATGGCTCAGCTTGGCAGATAAAAAAAGAGTAAAATTAAACAGACTATTTTGGTAATACAATAACATTTCTGTATGGCGATCTGCATAGACACCGCTGTAATACTGGCATATACTCTTACATTGAGGGGAAGGGAAAGGTAGTCTGTTGCTTGAGAAAAAAAGAGAACACCTCAAGTAATACTGATGTTGAGAGCTGGCCTGTGTGAGGTACCATCTACATCTGCACTGAGAGCAGGGTCAAAATTTCTTACAACTCTTCCCAAACATGACCATGTCAGCAGGATGCTGTTCACTCAAGTATTTGTTCTCAGGCCAAACAAGACAAGTTTCTTGTTCTGTGGCAGGTTGGCACCCAGTTCACTCGCGGGGTGTCTGGAGGAGAGCGCAAAAGGACCAATATTGGGATGGAGCTCATCATAGATCCTGACATCTTGTTTTTGGATGAGCCAACTACAGGACTTGATGCCAGCACTGCTAATGCTGTTCTACTGCTACTGAAAAGGTGATGGCCTTGGAAACAGCTTCCCGTTTTCATCACTCACTCTGCTACATTTCAGTTGTATTTGACTTAAATCACTGTTAGAATAGGCAAACAGGGAAATCAGAAATGTAATCGTTTACAAGTGAGCCAAGGCGCAAAAAGATTTAGGAAAAAGGATGTATAAATTCTCTCACTCCAAAGCAGATGCTTATGGCAGTGCACAAAACGTCTTGCACAAAGCGTGTGCATGCCAGGACTACAATTTGTCCAGGCAGCTTCCTTTTTCATGTCTGCCTGAGCCAGAAAAGTAATTAAAACACCTGTTGTCTGGTAAAGTGGTCAGTTTTAATATGGACAGTAGTTAGAACACAGCTGGCTGTTTTGCCATCAGCAAAAAGTCTATCTTTGGGAAAACAAGCACAACATGTTTTTCGTTTGCAAATTTTACATAGTTTTGCATTTACTACAAGCAAACAGGACTCAAACGCCTCTTTTCAGAGCTTTCTGTTTGCATCAAAATCTTCCCCTCCAACAACACTCCCAGTGACAGAGAACCTTCTTTTCTCACAGAGGCACTACAAATATTACCCAAATATTTTCTTTTTTTTCTTTCTCCCCACCCCAGCCTACTTAGTTAAACAAATTTAACTGAGGCTTAACTTAACTTGCAAATTCTCTTATCTAAGGGCTTAATCAAACTTGCTTGCAAAACTAACATCTCTTTTTGTTCTTCACATTCAGGATGGCAAATCAAGGTAAAACTATAATCTTCTCCATCCACCAGCCTCGGTACTCCATATTCCGACTGTTTGACAACCTGACACTGCTGGCCGCAGGGAGGGTGCTGTACCACGGCCCCACTCAGCATGCCATGGAGTACTTCCAGTCTGTCGGTAAGCATAACTAACAGCAGGGCCAACTGCAGCAACATCTTTAGTTTGCACTAACCTGAATGAAATGCCAACAGCGCTTGATCAGAATTGAGCATTGTGTATTAGCAAGCAGTGATTTTAACAGGCTAAGCATTTCTCTTGTTGTTTCACCTCTGGACCCATATGTGCTTTTGGATGATAGGCCTGACCTCTAATCAACTGTTCCTGAGCTTATCTTAATTAGACAAAGCCTAGGCTAGAGCTGGGAAGGGCACATTGCCAGCTGTCACCTTGCTTTCACTGATAGAGCTGTCCAGCAATGCCATTCATCTCTTGGATAAGCACAGACCTTTTGAAGCCTGCAGTGCTTACAGTACAGGCTGCTCAACCGGCACAATAATGTGCCTGGGGACTGTCAATCTGTGCTTGCAGCCCAGAAAGCCAACCAGGACTGCATCAAAAGGAGTGTGAGCAGCAGGTGGAGAGAGGTGATCCTGACTCCCTACTCTGCTCTCGTGAGACCCCACCTGCTGTACTGCATCCAGCTCTGGGGCACCCAACATAGGAAGGACATGGACCTGCTGGAGTGACTCCAGAGGAGGGCCATGAAGATGCGCCAATGGCTGGAGCACCTCTCCTATGAAAACAGGAGGGGAGAGTTAGTCTTCTTGAGCCTGTAGGATAGAAGGCTCAGGGGAGACCTTACAGCAGCCTTCCAGTACCTGAACGGGGTATACAAGAAATCTGGAAAGTGACTTTTAATAAGAGCAAGTAATGATAGGACAAGGAGTAATGGGTTTAAACTGAAAAAGGGTAGATTTTGATTAGATAGTGGGAAGAAATTCTTCGCTGTGAGGGTGGTGAGACACTGGCACAGGTTGCCCAAGGAAGTTGTGGCTGCCCCATCCCTGGCAGTGTTCAAGGCCAGGTTGGATGGGGCTTGGAGCAACCTGATCTAGTGGAAGGTGTTGCTGCCCATGGCATTGGGGTTGGAACTGAATGGTCTTTAAAGTCCTTCCAACCCAAAGCATTCTATGATTATGATAGCCATGCACAGCCTTCTGCCAGTCACACAAACACCGCTTAAAGCTTGTAATGCTGTCACCGCAGGCTACGAGTGTGAGCCATACAACAACCCTGCTGACTTTTTCTTGGACATCATTAATGGAGACTCCACTGCAGTGGCACTGAGCAAGACCAATGAAACTGAGACAGGTATAAAACAAAGAGCTGTATGAAATTGTTGTCACGTGTATTTTGTCAGAAGAAATCACTTGCAGGTGTCAACCAGTAACCATATTGTACAAGCGCATGATTGTTTGTATGCATGTGAGTATCACATACTGATGATCCATGGTGCTTTGTAGGAAAACCCCTCATAGTACTCTTAAATCCTTTTTGTTTATGCATGAAAACCAATTAGTATAACCTGAAATAAGTACCAAATTCACATACAGTCCTACTACATAAAATATTCATGTCGTGTGTGAGACTAGTTTGCCTTTCATAAATAATATTTAGTAATTTTTCATTGCTATCCATTTCTTCATACATATGCAGTGATCTGCATACTTCTGTGTCACACTCAAATAACAAGATGTTAAAGGTGAAAGAATATCTTTCTGCATTGAAGGTGTAATACATGGGAAAATAAACTATTTTGTTACCTCTCAACACAGATAAAGACCTTTCATCTTTGACGTAAATGAACTGGAGTCCTGCCAGAGAGATGATAAACCAGGAGAGTTGTTACAGTTAGGGACATAATTTGATGTGGTTCTGACCTGTATTTTTACCTAATGGAATAGTCTGTCTGTTATGAACTTACTGTTTTCCTTCCTCAGAGTAGGGTGGGAAAGGAGGAAGGAGATAGGGGACCAGTGTTCTGAAACTGCTCTGAAGCTGTGGTAAGGCAGAAATGATCCCAAAGTAAGAAAGCAAATCTCACCTACGTTCAGTAGCATGTTTTTTCATCCTATCTGTTGCTACTCGTTAACAGCACACTCCTTTCACATGAATGAAAAGGGAAATGTAGTATGAAGTAATAAATATGCTCTGTGCCCAAACACAGATTTTCACTATATCTTTACCAAAGAAGCAGCATTTTACAAAATGATGTCTGTGTTCAGGGTCTGACTAATGTTATAGCTGGCAACACGTTGCATTTGTCATTGGAAAAGGACACACTGTCCTACAGTTGAGATTAAAGAGTCCAGCTGAAATTTCTTGGAGACTTGACAGACTCAAACGTTTTACTGAAGCAGACACATGCAGGATTACCTGGATCTAGAAGTCTGGGAGGTGTAGGATTGTCTCATCAAATCTGCGAAACAGACCTCTTACAGAAACCCAAGGGGGTGTGGGAAATCACTTCTTGATGAAAAGTCAGACTGTTGTGAGTTTGAAACTTCATTGGTGACAAGGGTTTACCTACAGTAGTCTGCTGTGAAGCTGCTGCCTTCAGGGACATGTTGCACTGACAAACGTAGAGATTTGGTCTTATTTGTACTGACTCTTCTGACTTGTATGCTATGAGACTGAGTGCAATGAAACACTGAAACTAAATGTACACATTAATTCTGCTTCGTTAGTTAACTCTCCCACCCCAACATAACTCTCCGGGCTTAGCTCCCAAACAACCTTCCCATCCCTTACAGAAACAGTTGTATTTCTTTCCATTTTTTTTCAGCAGAGAGCACTGAAGAACACACTGAATATGATTTAACCTTGGCTGAGAAGTTAGCAGGAGAATACTTCAACTCTGCCTACTACCAGGAAACAAAAGCTGTATTAGAGAGTATTTCTTCAGGAAATGAAAAGAAAACAAAAGCAGTTTTCCAGCAAATCACATATGCCAACTCCTTCCTTCATCAGCTGAAATGGGTGTCCAAGCGCACATTTAAAAACCTGATAGGAAACCCTCAAGCTTCCATAGCTCAGGTAACACTATTTGTATATACCCTTTTGTGATATACATTGCATTTATTCCACTCCTGTCTTAGATAATTCACTGGGATAGTTTTGCCTCTTGATATTTTAACTGCAGTAAGCATCCAAAAGAAGAGTTTTCAAGGTCTGGAAATCTGATTCACTAGAAGATGTCCTAAATGCTTCCAAATGAGCAGCATGAGGGTCTGTTCAGTAATTTATTTTGGACTACTGAGAGGCTGGGAGGCAAGATCTTGTCCAGCAGGGTATTCTGCTGCTCCCAGCCAGGAACAGGGTATCTCCCAAGTAGTTTCACACATTAACTCAAGAACATTCTTCAGACTTGACTTCAGGCTTGGCACTGTGGGGTTTGGCCACAGATTTTCTTCCCTGCCAGGGAAAGTTAACAGACTACGCTTGGATACTTAACTGAACTTCAGCACACAATGAAGTGCTGCAGTTTGCTCAAGTGTAAAAGTATTTTCACAGTCTCAGAATGTGTGTGTCATTTGGTCATTTCACTGTTCCTAATGGCAATGATGTCTTTTGGAGAAGACCTCAATAGAGACTAACACCTGCCAGAAAAGGTGAGCATGTTCTAAATGACTGGCCCTCTCAGTGCTTTTCAGAAGAACCAACACTGAAAATGTTGATTTCTTGAAAGCTGCACATTGCTTTCAAAAACAAAGAATGCCTGGCTGCAGAATGACTAATCCTCAGGAATCCCCTAATTCATGGGCCAAACTTTGCAGTCCCAGCACCACCAAAATTTGCAATTCTAGAAGAGCCAATAGAAAAATTGATCCCAAGCCAGGGGTATAAATTATCTTCACCGTGATTTATACAATGAGTGAACAAACATCCAATGTGGAGAAGAAATGAGCCCAGAATGCCCAAGGTTAAAAGGCTTTAAGTATGTGTGTGTGCCTGTATGTTGATACTATGAAGATCCTTAATAATTGCATTGTAAAAGCTTGACCTTGTGACAAGAATTAGATTCTCAAGGGTCTCATAATGCCCTATAGTTAATGGTCCTGACTTGTTTCTCACCATCTCTTTTATCTCCCCTCCCTCGTTAGGGATGGATTTTACAAGCATTCTTTTTATGGGTACTTGGCTCACTAAGCCTTCTTTCAATAATCTGCTCCAAATTGGTCTTGATATGATCCCAGCTTTCCACTGTAATTGGTTTAGGAGCCAAATAATCCCTGACATTTGCTCCTTTCTGCAGGATCTTAGCCATAGGGTACCATGGATCAAATGGTTTATAGTGTTAAGACTCATGCACTGCTTGGGCTTAAAAATGTCAGAACTGCCTGATACTGTCAGTCTTGCTGAGATTTTTGTCATTTGCATTTAGTGTGATGTACACATTTCTGTCTTTTCAATGACATCCTTGAGGCAGCTGGTGTCTTTGCAATTTAAATGGTGTGCCAGACTGCAAATACCACGGCACCTGTAGCCTGATCATGGTATCTTGCTCATGTTAAAAACAATCCCATGAATAAGATATGTGATATTGCCCTGCAGTTACACACTGTGGAGCACGTAAATAAACTGTCAATCCCAACCCACCATTCAGGAAAGGCTTCTTTCCGTTATTGGTTGCCAAGATCAAAGTAGCATTGAGATGGCTCCAGAGAAACCCCTGCAGAAGCACTCGACTAGAGCCATGGTCAGCCCTTGAACTGAAGCAATCCTTATCACTGAGAGCAGATAGGGAATCACTGTCTGTCCCAAGGAGGATGAATGATGGAGAGCATAAGCAGGGAGAGAGGAGTGATGTAGCAGTACATCACCAATTAACTTAATCGTGACATCCAAGAATGGCTGAAACAGTGGTGGAGGAAAAGAGCATGGCTGATGTTCCCCAGATGTGATGAGGGGTTCCTCAAGGGAAAGGTGCTATTCTCTATTTCTAACCTGCCCGATCAAGCCCCTGCTATTATCCTTCTCCCATAGCTGGTGCTAGCTACACTCACCCACTATGTATTTCAAACTACTGAAGCACTGAAAACCATGAGAATAATACTTGTCTTCTATTTACATTTAGCTGTGTGTTACGGCTTTCCTTGGCCTGGTTATAGGTGCTATTTTCTTTGGACTTCAAGAGGACTCTACTGGACTGCAGAACAGGTTAGTCAGTTTAGGTAACGTATATTCAAAAATTTGATAAAGCTCCCTCATCACTGTGATTGATAGGATAACAAATAGGTTGGAGGATGAGAAGGAACCCGTGAGCTCTTTATGAACTATATTTACCTCTCTAATGCAAATGTTTCCCTTCACATCAGTAGATAAGGCCAAGCCTACATTAGTGACTTCAAAGTGAGGATGCCCTTCTGCCTCTAGGAAGGTCCTTGCAGAACTGAGAGAGGGATGCAGTTCTGCCCTGCCCTACCATGCTGTAACCTAGGCAAGCAGTCCAAATGAAGTGAGTAATGCTACTTCTGTAGGATGACATTTTTCAGTCCCAGTCAGATTGCTGAAAACACTGAACAACAGACATCATGTTAAAAAGGCTTAATTCAGCATGGCAGCATTTTAACTTGTTTTTTGCAAAGATTTCCCCAAGATAAATAGATTAAAATATATAGATTTGGCTACATAAACTGGGTAACTAAAACTTTGCTCTTGCAGCTACTTCTGTATACACCCTTGAGTTAACCAGCAACAAGTCAGAAGGTCCATCTAAAGCCAGATTCTGCAATTATTCTGGTCTGTGTATGATTTTGACAGCTCTATGTACATGACCTGAAAAATGGATTTGCAACTAAAGGAAGCTTTGGGTTCTTAGTCTTGGAACACTCCATAGCATTTACTTTAAAACTGCCCAGTTTTAAATGGGATCTGAAAGCCTTAAATTTTAGTGGAAAAGGTAAAAACAACTTCTCACATTGCTTACTCAGTTCCTCAGAGTTTGCATCAGACAAATGCCTCACAGACTGAGAATTTTTAATGTGCCTTTTCCCATGGACTTCAGAGTGGGAAGTCACATACTGCTGAGCTCCAGGCACTAAAGCTGGATTTACATACACTGCAGCAGAAGCACTACACTTACATCACATCTTTAATAACAGCTTGCTGGTTTGCTTTTTGTAGAGTGGGTGCAATGTTCTTTCTGACAACCAACCAGTGTTTCAGCAGCATCTCAGCTATTGAACTCTTTGTTGTGGAAAAAAAGATATTTATGTAAGTAAAACATATAAAAACATTATCAGGGACTAACTCTAGAGAGCTTGTTTGTTTGCCCTGCTGTAGCCAATTGTCACTTAAGTACACCTCGTGCAGTTTTCAAATGAATTCATTGTTAGTGCTCATCGCAAATGTACTCTTTCAGCCTGCTAGTGAGTTACCTGCAAATCCCCCAAATGGTACCTGTCACTACAAACATCTCAGAGTTTAAAATTATTAACATATGTGGCAAAAAATTCCCTGAATACTCAATGTAGGTATTGATTAGTAAGTTTGTGATTTGCTAGTGAGGGCAGAGAACATTATCTAATTGCAATCTTCTAAGCTATGCAGATTACACTGTACAGAAAAGAAAAAATATTGAAGCTGTACTCGCTGTTTCGATGACATGACACATATGTTTACTAAAAATTACGTACACAAGTATCCATATTAATTTGCATAGGAAAAGGGCATCATGGCTATAGTATGTGGCTTACTGGTCTTTTATATTACAGTCCAACCATAAAACAATTCATTATTTCCACTTTGAGTTAAAATAAACCTTACTGTTTCTTAGTGATTAAATTTGTAATATGCTGTGTATTTGTTCCAGACATGAATATATCAGTGGATACTACAGAATATCTGCATATTTCATCTCAAAACTAATGGCTGATTTAATACCCATGAGGACTATACCAAGCATCATCTTCTCCTGTATAATTTACTTCATGTTAGGCAAGTGTAGTCTCCTACAGACAATAAATCAATGAGGCATTAGCATTTTGTATATGTGCATGTATGCATGTATATTTGTATAGGCCAAAGTACTATACCAGCATGGCAGTGGTTACTTTGCTTGCTTTTACTATAACATGCAATTTACAGAAAAGACACACTTTTAAAGGTTTTAAGCTTCCATGTCTCAATCTGTGACATGTCTCTTCTCCACTGTCCGTAGAAGGAAGTGTGCCATTACTATATAGGTTTGGTTTATTCTTTTCATTTATGGCCATCTTAGTTTCCAGTGACTTTTACAAGACACTTTTTCCATCTTTGCAAGAGCACCTATCAAGGAAAAAATGTTGTTTTAAGAAGTTAATATTGTGTGATTTAACACTAGCTTGTTCTTTTTGGTGAAATGCCTTCTGGTTAGTGAGCAGACTTTGCTATCGAAACTATAACCATCCAAAAGCCTCTGGGTCTGTTAGGAAAGCTTTCTGCTGGAAACAAGTGAAACGTTATACAGCTGCTGCTCATGGAAGTGCACTAGAAATTCCTCCTTTGGTAGACAACTTGAAGCTGCAGCAAAGGCTTCACCTTAGACTGTGTGGAGTACAGTACTGTAATTTCTACCCATTCTGCTATCTCCAGTGCTACTGCAGTTACAGGCATACTACTTACTCATCCTGTCCTCCACTGACAGAGCATGTTAGACAACATGCATTCTGCAGGCAGGATACACTGCCTAAGTCAGAAGAGCATTCAGGTTATGGTAGAGCTTTTGGCAGGGTTATACTGAAACCATTCCTGTTCTGATCTTTAAGGTTTGAAACCAACAGTAGAAGCTTTCTTTACAATGTTGTTTACCCTTATGATGGTGTCCTACACAGCCACTTCTATGGCACTAGCTATTGCAGCAGGAGAGAGTGTGGATGCTGTAGCAAACCTGCTCATGATGATCACATTTGTTTTTATGACTGTGAGTACCATTATTCAGTATTCTAGACTGAATTCCGACATCTAGATATCCTATCAGAACAGAGTTCAGCTGAATTCTGAAAAAAGACTGTGGGGGTCAAGCGTGTCAAATACTTTTCTGATTTGAATATTCTGAGACTATAGCATTAAATATTCTGATTTGTCCTTTTAGTTAACAAGAACTGTAGGGATTGGGTGTGAGGGGGAGCTAAGAGTGGTTCCTCTGTACTCTTTTCTGTGGCTCTGGCAGCCAGCATACTGCCTGAAGAGCAGCAAAGCAGTCCAGAGCTGCATTTTGCTTACTCTCATCTTTGCCAAAGGCAAATTTGGCTAGCTGACGACATGACCCTGCTCTCTCTCTCAGGGAGTTGCTCTCCTCAGCTGCGGAGCCAACCATCAGTCATATTAGGACTAGGCAACACACAAATAGGTACAGTTAGAAGACAGGCACCACAAACAATGAGGCAATGCTGAACCAAGAGCTGAAACCCACATTGCCTCAGACTCAGGGCACACAAGCAAAACCAAGTGCACAAATTCAGCAGCTCCTTGCTATACCTGAGTAAAAGCAGACAGCTCAATTGAACCCACGTGTGGCCCACAGATGGAAAGCATCTGGATTTGATGCACATGTGAAAGCATTCCCCATTACTCATTTCAGAAGAAGGACCACATGGCGTTATGGCCCAAAGCTGGGTAGCAGAAATGATTCCTACCCTTTCCCCTGTTCTTCCACTGGAAGAGCTTTTTCCTCTAGAAATGCCTTCCCAGTTGTTTTTGATCTGAAGAAGCAGAGTCAAGAGCTAGAGAAGGACACCTGGTAACGGTATGTAATTTGTAATATGTTGTTGTGGTGGGGTTTTTTTTGTAATCCTTGTATCTAGATTTTCTCTGGGTTGCTGGTCAACCTCAGAAGCATCGTGTCCTGGCTCTCCTGGCTCAAATACTTCAGCATCCCTCGATATGGAATGACAGTAAGTGCTATATTTTCCTGGGCACAGGTTTGGAAAAGCTTTGCTAGAAAGGAATGTCTTTATTCATGATAAAGAAAACTTCAAACTTTATGGGATAATGAGCAAAAAGTAAGCTAATTAAGTACAGCAACCTCAGAACACAGGGCAGTGTCTTGAAACAAGAAGAAAGGCTTCTCATCAACCAGCACCCACTGCTGTTTAGAACTCATTTCTGTTAACACCAAACACCCATTTTGGAAACACCTCACATGACAGAGACACTAAACAATTACAACCACTAGAATGCAGCTGGACAAAAACAATACAGAGTAAAGAACAATGTTATCCCAGAAAAACAATTCTTCTCTTTTCCATCAGTAAAACAAAAACTTGTTAAGCTAAAATTTTTCTCCTAATTTTTGATAATTTGAGGTAGGGTTCTGTTTTGCAGAGAGATCTGGGCTTTTATATGCCTGTGCAGAGGTAGTCTAGCCTGAGGGACGTGTTGAAGCCTGGCAATTGAATTATATCTCATGTTGTTAAAGTATCATTACCTACTAATTTCAATAGTCATTGTTTCTTTTCTTTTAAAAGGCTTTACAAATCAATGAATTGACTGGTCTGAACTTTTGCAGCAGCATCAACAACACAAATTTAATCAGCAACAATAACTATCCACAGATGAGCCAGCTGTAAGTATTCTGGTACAGTAAAATGAATCCCACCACTGGTAACTTACAGAGTCCGAGAGCATTAGTCTGTGAGATGCTCACGAATGACCAGCAGAATCTCTGAGTGTTTATGTGGAAAATGAAATTTTCACTGCGCTTTTGTATTTTGTCTGCAGAGAACATTCTACTTACAGTCATATTTAGTATTGATAACACTAGAAATACCTGGTGTTGTGCTTCTCACTTTAAACTGTGTTTTCTGAAACACACGTGCACACACTACAGTTATACAGCCTCACAAAATCCATTTCAGCTTCCTACAGGAAATCATTGTAGCTAGAAGAAAAAAAAAATTTACAAACAGTAAAATAGCAACGTGTAGCTGGTGTTTGCCTGGCCTGCTATAGACATAAAATCACATTGCAGCTTCTAGGGTTCTGCTTGGGTACTTCAAACTGACTAAGCTTACAATTGTGTGTGTATTTACCCATAGGTGGTGTTTTGGAGAGGAATATCTGAAAAATCAAGGCATTGATGCGAGTAGCTGGGGCCTGTGGCAGAACCACCTGGCTCTTGCCTGCATGACCATAATATTCCTTACCATCGCATACCTGAAACTGCACTTCATGAAGAAGTTTTCTTAAAACCAGAATGAAAACCACAGTTCCCACTATTCAGTAGTTTGATAAACTGTGATCCGACTTGATTCTTTTTTAAGAGACCTTCCTTTGTACTGTTGTTTATGATCACACAAATCAACAATGTGAATGCCATCCTTGTATATCAAATACTTAGTATTAAAGTACTTTGCTGATGTGTAGCATTCCTCAGTTCTCTTTGCCAGAAAAAGGATACAACTATTCATTTCTTCAAGAGACCCTTCAGACTTTCTGCATGTTCTAGCTGTGAATTTGTTAAATAATGAAATTAGTATTTAATGGCTTAACCTGAAAACCAAAACTAATGGTTCATTCTTTTAATTAGCACCTACACTCACTGGCAAGCCAACTTTTACTTTGCTTTTACTTTATGTCTCCAGATTCCTTTCAGAATGGTTTAATTTCTTCTTAGGGTCTTAGATATTTTTTCTGCAAGGGAGGATGCTCATGGGCTCTCTGGATGATAAATGTACCTCTGGATATGCAGCAGAGGTAAATACCTGCCTTTGCTGTTTATGACCTCCAAGGGACATATTCTGCATTAAAATTAACAGTCATTCCATGGAGACTTGAGCTCAGATGTCAGGTATTAAGCTTACTGTAATAAACCTCTGTAAACTAGTTTCCATAGATCAGTATCTATATACAAATATGTGGAGAATATCTTTCCATATACTGAGATACAGATAATTTACATACATGGAATTCTCCTATCTCACATCCCATAATTCCATGGAAAGGATTTGGTTTAGGCTTAAACAACACAGCATTTAGGACAGCCTGACTGGGTTAGATATATCTTGAACATGTCACTTATTTGCTTTTTCTCAAGTGTCTCTTCTGCTTGAGATCTGGGAGAACAGTCACAGTATTACCCTGTTTTGTGAGATGTGACCCTAACCAGCTTTCTCTCTGCTTTGTTTTTAGGATTTAGCCAATCTCTATTTTCACCTGCTTCATTTATATTGTTATATTTGTAATTTTGTAAATAATATATATGATTTTTTTTTAATAAAGAGATCCCAAATATTTCTGGAAGGCAAAAAAACCTGAGGCTAAGCAGTAATTTCAATGGTCTTTCTTGGGACGATATTTATAATGTTATTTTAGTAGTCAAACCATCAACAGGCTCAAGTTTATTTAATTACTTTCCAGGAGAAGAATTTATCCTCAGGAAATATCACGTGAGCACTAAATCCCAACTTACTCTTTTGCTCAGATTTTACATATGCATTTAAATTCAATGACAATATATTCATAAAGGCTATTTAAACATGGAAAAGGTCATCAGGATTCATACTGACATACTTCATACTACTCAGATTTGCATGCATGAGTGTTATTAGTTATTCATAGCACAATTTCTCACAGAAGGGAGGGGAAGAAATGATAAATGCAGAAGTTGAATGGCTGTTCTGTATTTTCTTTTACATTCAGGATGGCGAGGCAAGGCAGGACCTGTCTCACTATTCCATATTCAGTGTTTGACAGGAGGCCAGGAGTACTGTGGCCCTGCCCATAATATCTGACAGTACTTCAGATAGATCAGTGAACTTTCAACAGCTGGGGGTTCTGGTCACACAGTGACAGGCACTGAGTAAAACCTTTCACCTTGCACAATGTTGGTCATGTTTATAACGAAATAAAATACTAGATTTTCATTAGAACCCAATTGGTTATGCAAGGTATCACTTAAATGAGCTGTAGCTCCCTCTTACGGTAAGGTCTGAGGTGTTACACTGCTGCGTAAAATGCTATTTGAAGACAAGACTTTCCCATACAGCTTTTCAGGAGTAGCTGCATTAAAATGAACCAGTAACTCTGGATTTAGATTCAGGTATTCTGATTTTAATTCAGATATTCCAGCTTTATTGCTAAATGGTTTGCAGGGAACAATTTACCTAAATATCCTGATACTCGCTCACTCGCAGTGGGAAGGGTCCAGTGAATAGTGTTTTGCATTCACAATGTCCTGCCTCCATCTTCAAGGGTTAGTAGGACCCTCGTTAGAAGTACCTAAGTGAGTTGCAGCTATTTGGAACAGATATGTATAGGCATGTTATTTATTGTATTGATAGTTCAGTTTCTGAGTCAAGAGTGCATTTTAATAGTACTTTTTTAAATCTATGGGGAACGTATCGTACCCAGCCTTATCTAAACTTGGTAATAACTGCACTGTCATCTTTCTAACTTTCCATATTTCTAATGCAATGAACCAACACACGGAACTATTTGTAAACTTTAGATCCAATCCTGACCTTAAGGCTTGCTCTTTGCTATTTCTGGCAGTGCAAGGTTTGATGCTGAAACACGTACCTCCGAGAATGCACCATCATTCTTGGTGGTAAAATTCTGATTGTAAAACATAAATCTGCTTAACTTCATCTATATTTTGTATTTACAGATTGAATTGATTTTTGGTTTCAACTCAGGTCTTATCTTTCCAGTGCTTAACTCTGTATTTCACCCTGCAGAGAAGTTAACATACTGCCTGTATGATTTCACTTCCATTTAAGTGGCCGCCCATGTTACCAGAGCAAATCCCAAGAGTTGTTGCCCAGGAAGAAACCTCTTCATCTCTATGAAAGGACAGACTATGCTACTCCTAGGACATCACTTTTTAGCCTATTTGCTCCCACTGATTTTAATAAGTACCCATACACTAATGAACTGACAGCAGCACAATCTAGCCATCAAACTGTTAGCTGAGCTCTGCAACTCCATAATGAGATATATAAAATTCTGTACCTTAGTTCCCTGAGCAGAAGTTACAGTACTCATGTCACACTATGGGCTTTATATTAACATTTCCTCTTTTTATCCAGCATTCTACTTTCCATATATATCTTAGCAGAAGATAGGACCAATAAATTGCTTGAAGCTGATCACTCATGGCAGACTATTTTCATGGTTCTCCTCTTTCATTTGGACACTGACTGGTACAATTAGACTTGCACAACCCAGGAGATACTTAATCTCTACATGCACTATAACATGTACCTTAATGAACAAGGAAAGCAGAAAAAGGGGTAGGCGGGGGAAGTAGTTAGTAGAAGGAAAATGAGTCCGGAATGCCCAAGGTTAAAAGGCTTGGAGTACATGTGTGCATGCCTGTATGCTGATACTATGAAGATCCTTAATAACTGCATTGTAAAAGCTTGACCTTGTGACAAGAATTAGACTCTCCTAGTAACCCAGGGTTAACGGTCCTGACTTGTTTCTCACAATCTCTTTTATCTCCCCTCCCTCATTAGGGATGGATTTTACAAGCATTCTTTTAAGAGAACATGCTCATTAAGACTTTTTTTCATTAATCGGCTCCAAATTGGTCTTGATATGATCCCAGCTTTCCACTGTAATTGGTTTAGGAGACAAATAATCCCTGACATTTGTTCCTTTCGGCAGGATCTTAGCCATAGGGTACCATGGATCAAATGGCTTATAGTGTTAAGACTCATGCACTGCTTGGACTTAAAAATATTGGAACTGCCTGATACTGTTTTCTTCCTGAGATTTTTGTCATTTGAACTTAGTCTTACACAAGAACTTAATCATTCTGATCATATCACTAACACAGGTGAAAAGGTGTTTTTGTGTTTGAAAATCCCTGTTTCCATTTGCTTACATTTAACGTTTGCTTACATTTTTAATAAAGAGTCTAGAAAACTTTGAAAGACTTATATTTAAGTTTGATGTGAAATGATTCAATCTGGTTCAAGATTCTGCTTTTAAATCCCTGTCTGAACTACTTTAAAATAATTAAAAATGGATCACAAGCTGAAGGTTGTTACTTTCTAAAGAGGTACTGTTATTTGTTTGAATTGATTAGTTAGAAGTTTTACTATAACCTTACAAGCTACTGCTTTTAATTTTTATTGTTGTCAGTACAGAAAGAAAGGGGTTTATATTTTCAGTCCCAGTAACTGAAAGTAATTCTTTGTTCCTTGTAAAGAATGCTCCATTTGCTGTAATTAATAGCATAGGCACTGCTAAATAGCAGGGGTACTGCATTTTTTACTGACCCTTTCTCCTCCTTAGGGATCTAGTAAGAAGCGTTTTCCCCCAAACATACCTACATATACCATGTGAAGTATTCATTACTGCTTGGTATGAACATTCATTTCATTCATTGCCTAAATTACAACTTTTCCATCTGTTTGATCAGCTGTTACAATCTCTCAGCCATACATTCTGTTACTAGCAAGCGCCTGATGTTACACTGCTATGTAACAGGCAAGAACAGATATTAAACTGCCTAGATACAACTAATAGCTCCAAACATGCTGCCCCAGTGCTGCTTGGGAAGCAGCTTCCTCCTCTTTTGACTTATTTTACGACAAGTAATTGACTGAGGTCCAGTTTTCAAAGTGTAATAAGTAATTACAGGAAAGACATCTAATTTCAATTAGGATTTTTCATTTTTTAAGTTGAAAACTGTATCTTTTCAAGTGACTTCAAAGTACTAATTGAAAAGTGTGTGTGTTTATCAATGAAGATGGGTTCAATATCCCAAGCTTTCATTGCAGGCCCTGATGTGGTTAAAGGGTAGGTGAAATTGCACCACCTGCTAAAGATATGTGACAGATTTGATACACAAAGTGACAGATTTGATACACAGTTCTCAACAGAATTATCATGTGATTCTGTAGGGATCTAGTCTTGTCACTCACTCATCACAAGTATAAACGGCCTTAATAATCCTCAAGACAATTTACAGAAGAAATTTGCTGTGAATTTACCTTTTCAGTACTCCAAACCCGGCACTGAGAGTGTTACCATTTTGCCATCTTTTGAGACCTCTGTGCTGGTAGGTACAATAAAAACCTTGTAGGCCATATATTCACTATCTGTGAGGAAAAACATTCATTTAATTTGGGTTTTCTGGGAGTCATCAAGGGAATTGTAGAGTAGAATCCTACTTAGACAGAGAATGACAGCCCATTCCACAAGGATTTTCGATGATAAAAAAGCAATAAAGGTATTTCAGACATCCACTAGAGAATAAGGGATTAAGACAGCAACACGACAAAAATTAAATATTGCATGTCTACCTCTTTTCATCAGAGAGACCGGTTACAGATTAAGAGCTCAAAGCAACACTTCCTTTACATGTGGGAACAGATGGGTAAGTTCAATCTTATCTTGTCTTATCTGACAATACCACTTGGTATTGTCAGGTAAGTATCTTGAAGAATGTATGGATTACTGCCCTTCCAATTGCCATCCCTCTTTGCTCTTACTGCATATTCTATATAAGCAGGAAACAAAACGAAGCCCCATTGGTGCCTAAATATACAAGTAACAATTGCTCACAGTTGTTTTATCATAACTTTAACTTTTTTCCCTTCTTCTCTTTTTTTTTTTGTCTTGTTTAGATTTACTGGAATGGAGTATTTGAATAGAGAAGGCATCCAAGTGATGCCCCTGGGATATGGAAGAATTATGGGGCTCCTACCCCAAACATGCTTCTCAAACTGCAGTTCCTGAAGTTTTCAAAAGTCAGCAACACTATAGCATACACACAGTATGAAATAAAAGGAGGTTCCCACTTTCCACATGCTGTGACGTCTATAACACACTAAGGGCTTGCTTAGTTAGCTTAGTCAACTCAGTATGTATATATTTCATTAAAGACTACGATGGATTTACATTAAGCACTCAATTTCATTAATAAAACTTCTGACCTGGTGAGACAGCTGCCCAGACAGAACTATGGGCCTGGGATCTCAAAGGACCATTCAGTTTTCCAGATGGTTAGGACCACCTGAAACGAAGGCAAAAAATAAAGGGAAATAGAGAAAAAGAGAAGTCAATTTACATAGCAACTGTGACATAATAAAGGGACGAAGTTATCAGCTGCTACCTAAAATGGCAGAAAACAGACCTGTGCATTTGCACAAATGCACATGAGAAATAAACTGCTAAAAAAAGCACTGCTTGGGCAATGAAGCAGTTGGATCAGCCCAGTCCCCTCTGTTCATTTACACCCTATACTCCTGTTTTATGTGATTAGGTAATCTAAGAATAAGCTATGGGATAGAAGTAACACACACAACATAGGATTCTTAATGTTCTGTTATAAACAAACCAAGTGTTTGGCACAAAGATTGCTTTATAGATTATATAAAATGTTTATTAGGAAGTAAAGTGCTCAGTTTTACAGATCAATACAATCTTGATCATTGTAGAAGGCTTGCATAATTAACAGCTTCCTAATAAGACCAAATACTGCACATTACTATACAAAAACCTTACCTTTGTAATATGTGACAAATGGCATTATAATCTAGTGGAAAAATGAAATAATAAAATGTTTATAACATTTGTCAAGTGCCCATGCACTCACTGCAAGGCCACTGTCAACACACACGGGTACCCCATGAAAACTTACTGCACTTCAAGATGAAGTTTGTTATTAAGTAACGACACGTTACAGAAATATATTTCAACAAATACAGCTACGAATGCAAACACTTTCCGAATAAACATATACTACAAATAGAAGATTAACTGTTTGACTGAATTTACATTTTGAAAGATACACCTTTATAATAAACCTATTTAAAACCATACTGACAGGTTTAGTTTTGCTTTCTTTCCCCCATTAAGGCACTGCCTCACCAACAGATGACCACAAGATCCCTGCTGCCATAAGCCTCAGCATGCCACATGCCTTACTGGCTGCAGGCACAAACCTGAACACAAAGTATTCCAATTACGGTTCCTCCTGATTGCTGGACAACTCCAGCTGGGTCATTTGGCGAAAGTCTTTGATTAAGTACATGATTATTAAATACTATTTTAGTATTTAGGTAACTCTGGACCCTAGAAACCCAATATTAATTACATGTTACACACATGTAATTAGTTAGCATGCTTCAAAGTTTAAACTGTAAGTCATGCTACACACCAACACACTACCCATTCTAAATATGAAGACTATGCATATTTAAATTGCTTTGTATGGTATTTTCTGTTTTCCCTGCACATCACCTGGCCACGTGTTCAGCTAGTGTTCTTTGGTTGGTTTGTTTAAAGTTACAAATGCCAGTTCAATACAGAAATGCTTTCCTCGGGAAGGGTTCTAAGGTCCAAAAAGTTTCAATTGAGGCAAGACAGAGCTTAGCCTGAGTGTCTCGTTTCACACAAAAGCCCTAACTACTGTGCTGTGCGCTGTTTTGGGAAGCTGACAGGGTTTCTTCTGAAGCAGTATGAATTTCTTCCTAGTACAGGAACCACAGAAAGAATAAACACTTCACCTGTTCCGTGAATCACAACCTGTTTTCCCACGCTGGTCTGCTCTCAAGCCAAAGCTACTAAGAAATTCCAGTCCCGGCACTGAACTTCCTCCTGCACCACTTACATTCAGTTTCTGTGCATATGGTTTCTCATAAACTTAAAAACAGGGAAAGGAATTAAGTCTATTTAGTTCTAGCAAGTTCTCTGGTTAGGAAGAAAGAATTCTGAGTCACTGTACATCCAGGCAATGCAATTGTAAGATCATACGCAAGGTGTAAGCTTCACCTAAGCAGCACAACTGCAAGAATAAGGTGTTAACTTCCGGCAACAAATGCTTTTTGAAACACAAAGCATCAATATAACATATACATATGCTACTTATACTTTGTTAAATAGGCATTTTTCCCTCTATATACCCTGCTAACAGCTTTGATGTGTTTGATTGTGTAGGTTTCCCTCTTCCTTTACAGCAACTCTAAGTCTTTAAATACAACTGCCATCTTCAGGAAAAAAAGCACAACTGAAACTCCCTCCTAAACCAGTATTCCACAGACGGAAATACGTTGCTAGGCAAAACCACAAACACTACGCCCCAATGGTTTCTGTAGGAAACCAACCTAATTTCAGTGTCCTTTCATAAACAAAGCTTCTACGGCCCAGAAAGCAGAGGAAACTAAACACTAAAAATCAGTGATTATACTACAAACACCTTTCGAAAGGCATCATGTGTTGCACCTCAGCAGAGAAGCATATGTAGAAATATACCTAATAATATTACAAGCAGTTCTTTTAAATGTACATACAGACTACACAGTTGAGACATGGTTACAACTTGACACAGCACAGGATCAGACTGCAAACCATCAGCAACTTCTCTGCCCCCTTCCCTGTTGTACCCACAGAAGAGTTGATGTTTCTCAATTTTGTGAGCTTTGAAAGAATCTATTTTCTGCAAAGTAACCATATTTACCTAAGAATTGGTGGAATGTTTATCCCAGGAACACTTAGATCATGAAATCATAGCATTAAAAAATGGGCACTTTGCAACAAAGCCCAAAATTATTACTTTCATTGGGTGTGAAGAGGCAGCTCTCAAATAGTGCTTTTGAAATGCTAATGGAACACAAACACCTGCAATGTGTACATTTCTATTATGGAATACGTGATTTACCATTGTACAAAGTGAGTGTACTTTCTTCTGTTTAAAAAAACATAGTATTTCTCAAAACCAGGAAGAAATGAACATTTGAAGTTGATTAAAATGTTAGTAACACCAAGAATAACTCAGAAACATAGGCAGAAGCAAAGTAAAAAAGTGCTATTTTATCTCTGAAAAGTGTCAGCTGTTAACAATGAATGAGGCAATAAATTCATGCCATCTTCTTTTAAAAATTGCTTTTAAAAGCATTGGGAAAAAATCCTATTTTCCAACAGAAAGCAAAATACTTGCAGCCTTTCAGTGGAGTGGTTTTAGCCACAGCACATTATTCTGTCTGAAGCTTGATGCCCTTGTGGAAGTGTCCCCATAATACATGTATGGAATCAAACTTCTGGCCAGGTAGATTTTGTAACAACTGTTTCCATTCTGCCTCCTGCACTTTCATTTGCAAGGCTGACAGTTTACTGTGGGCAACTTGAACGTGACACATGGCTTATGTAGGTCTGAAAATGCCTTTTGAAGAGAATATTTACTTTTGCCCATGGGTGAGAAATGTCCTTAGTGGTCTGATGAGGATGATCACCTCATGCTGGGAAACAGTGGAGTAGTGTATTTGCTGGCTTAATACTGACCTGAAACATTCAGAATCGCCTACAAAGTTAATCCTTACACATGGATGTTATTCCCCCCATTTCCTCCTCCCCCATCAATACCATCTGACTGGGAGGATGATGGCCGAGAGTTCCTTGAACGAGGCTGGCCATTCAGTCCAAGTGGTGTTCCCAACCGATGGCTCATTTGGGATGCCGTGTCATCTGATTCCCACCTCTCCAACTCCTCTCGCACAAGTCGCTCCATTTGTTCTCTATGGATTTCATTGTCACGACCCAGTCTTTCATCCTGAACAGATTAAAAGACGCAACCTTGAAGCTCAGCTTCTAAACAACAGCCTAAGCAAATCCCTACACAAACATGGGAAAGTCTTACGCCACTCAAGTATTTCCATAGGCTAGTGGAGAAACACTGCTAGTACAGTAAATGGTTTTCTTTCCAGTGATGTAATGCCCAGGTTGTCACCTTCACTGATGACAGCACAATTTGTATTACAGTTTTCTTACCTCTGTTACTCCATCTAACAGCCTTCCTAACACATCTCTCCTTTTTAGTTTGGCTCTCTCCATCGCTTCAAGCTTCACGATAACCGCATCGATCTTGGAGACTATACTGCCGATAGAATGCTCCATGCGATCCACCCGCCTCATGAGCCTAAGGGCAACAAGTGTGAGCTTCAATAACCCTGTCTGAGTCAGTATCACTGTAGTATGCCAACACACAAAGCAGATAAGGATGAGAGCCTTTTAATTCTGGCATGCATCTGACCCTCCACAAATCAGTCCTGATGTCCAGGCAGGGACAAGGTACACAAGAGCAAAAGGATAACACAGAGATAAAGCAGATGGGGAAAAAAACCCCAGAAACATATTCCACTCTGTTTTCCCTGCTTTTAGGGCATCCTCATGAAAATTTGTTGGTTCTAGTTACTGAAATTCTTCATTCAGCTAGTGTTGCTATAATTAATTAATATGGAGATCTATTATTTTAGACAAAATACACACTCACAACTAACTTAATCTTACTAAAAAAAACACCTTAAGTTCTCAGTGAACCTAAAACAACCTCAAGGTTTTACTTCTAAAAATCGTAGAAAAGTCTTCTGGCATTATTGTATCATTTTCCCTGTTCCCTACTGTACCATTTGACCATTTTTTCTGTCTTTTCAATGACCAGGTTTTAAAGACAGGGGCTTTTTTTCTTTGGTTGGTTTGTTTTTGGTTTTGTGTCTAATTCACATCAGCCTCTCTAAAGTAATTCCAGTTCAGACACTAAAGAGTGACTTAAGTACCTTCAAAACACAGCGTTTACTTTTATGAATAATTTGATTAATAGAGTTACAGGAGACTCTATTATAGAACTGAAAGAAGAAAACCTACAAGGGAAAAAATCCCCCAAACACCATGCAGATTTTTCCTCCTCAGAACAATCAACTTACACTTGGAACTCTTCATAGGAAACCCCACTAGAGCTGCTGCCCCTCCTCCTGGAGCTGTGTCCACTGTCTTCATCCTCATCCTCCTCAGAGTCGTCCAAGCTCCGGGGGAAGCTGCGGCTGCTCAGAGGACGTGGCAGAGAGCTCCTATCCAGGTCCAGATCCTCCTTTGTGAAAACACAAGACACAGACAAAGATGATGTAAAGATTTTCACCTGTACATGAGGGATGGGGGTGTCAAGGTCAAAAACCTCTTGCCCTCCATCAGCTCCTCCTTGCCTATTTACAGTCCTGCTCAGACAGGCAGGAATGAGAGCAAATGTGAAGGGAAACAAGAGGACTCTTCTAGGGCAGAATTGTTCAGAAACAAGCATGGGGAGAAGACTGGCAGATGGCAGTGGTGGCATATCACTCCTAACACGGAGCTCACCCTCTCTTTCTCAAGGTCATCTCTCATCTGCTGATGTTCATGCTCTGTCAATTCCTGGTCCCCATCCTGGTCATATTTGGTAAATATTGCTTCAATCTCTGCATCCGTGTGCCCCTTCCTGAAAACGGAGTAAAAACAGTTCCCTTATTTCCCATTTTTTGGACGCCAAGTGAACTTCAAGTATTAGAAAAACACTTCACTCCATCAGACCTTCATCCCCCAGCCAAAGGCATAACTGATCCTAGTGCTGCCTATGAATTCACAACACTGATAATAAACACCTCAGCCCTCACCTTTTATTACTCAGTAGCACAAATCTCCCCTAGACTGCACCCTGCTCCTTCACAACCATCCCTTTTATACCTCTTTGTTTGCTTTCCTTGGATTCCTGACTGTTCACAATCTCCTGCAGTGGCTCAGATAGAAATATTACCATTTCCTCAAATGCTTTAGATCTCTGCTTCCTAAGGCCCCTTCTACCCACAACAAGAGAATGTGGCATTCTCTTGCTTCTCACAGAAGCATCAAAGACATGACATGTCTCTGGGATACTCTTCCAGATAATAAGTAACAGCTTCCTTACCCTTTCAGATCTTGCCGGAGCTCATCAAAATTTAACTTTCCCCCACCTTGTCTCAGGCTTTCTGAAATGTCATCAACAGTAGTCTTCTTCAATTTAAGTTTGATCATGGCTTTGTTGTAGCCCTAAAAGAAACAGTGATATTTTGTGTTTTACTTGTCATGAAATGTTAACACTTGATTTCTAATAACTTTCTCATTATAAAAATCACCTAGTGTATACTATCATTCAGTGCGTCCCAAAAGTCCTGCAGGAATCTCTCTTTTCCTCTGGTTTACCCATCTTTTATTTCAGCATTTAAATGAGCAACATATAAATACCTCTGCAGTTAGAGTAAGGCTTTCATCCTTCAGTTTGCACTGCAGGTCAGCAGGAATGGAGTATTTTGTACAGCAAGACCTTTAGCAGTCAGTTACTGACAGTTAAGTGACAGTTTTAAATAATGCTGACAACACAGGTACAACTTCCTGCAGTTATTTTGCTTCTCTGTCATGCTTCCGTTGTAGGAATGACATAAAATCTTCATCCCAAAAAGCAGCACTCTTTGTTTTTCTCTGCTCTGTTTTAATAACCAGTTTGCAAGTTTTAAACTCAGAGTTACTGGTCATGCCGAGTATGTGGTTAGACATTTCTGACCACAGTACAGCACCGCATCCATGCCAGAGCACACGTATGTGCACGTTTTTCCTAAACTGGGATTCAAGTCAAGCTCCTAACTTTGTATTCAACAACCTTACTGGCAGCTGCCCCTGGAAGCTCCCAACGCATTATCCAAGACTCGCCTAAATTTATTGCCCAAAATGAGGTAGTTCTGTGACCAAACCAAACAGCAGCTTAGCTTCAGTGTTCAGTGTTTCTGTAGGTACTTGACAGTCAAATCTTATGTTGTATTCAGCAGGCTGATCATTCAACACAAAGTCTCAGATGACTAAAATATGTTGTGATGGAAAGTTTTCATTTATTTTACACTCAGCTCAGATTAATTTAACTAGAGATGTGTATATTCATCAGCTGCTGCCAGCTTCACTTTGTAGCAATTTATGGAGTGAGTTTAGATGTGAGGAATGTTAAAACAAACAAAATGTTACTTTTACCTTTCTGATAAGGTCAGACAGTTCCATTTCTGCCTTCTGTTGTGCCATATCCGATTTGACTTCAGAGTACGTATCATTGATGATGGCCAAAAACATGTTCTGTTCATGAGAGAAATGAAAAAGCCCAACTGAAATTTCACCAAGCCTAAGCCCTGCTCCTACAACCTTCATGTGCAGACCTATACATGACTTTTTAAAAAAGGCCAGGAGAAAATGGTGAGCTTTTTCTAAAGCACTAACATCAAGAACTTGAGATATTGAAATGGGATGCACTGCAGTGTAGCAACTTCTAGTCAAGACTACTGGTTATTAATGTAACTGGAGTATTACTTTCCAGAGACAGTTCATACCTACACAAAGCAGCGGCAATAAACCATGCTTGTTTAACATTATATATTTAAGTTTGACCTTCTATCTGCCAGGCCAAACTTACACAGATAGTAACTATTAATTAATCTAGAGAACACAAAAAAAGTGCCTGAGTAGTCAAGTCAACTATTCATCTCATAATAACCAGGACAAACATAAATTTCTTACCTAGTTACCGCTCTGCTTGCATTTCAGACTAAGATAAAAACAAAACAGCTTGCAATCAGACATTTGGCATGTACACCACCAACTCTGAAAAGAGTCTGGTTGCTTGCCCAAATGAAAGAGAAAAAAAAAAGTAGGTCTCACTAACCCTGCGCCAAGCATATAGTTTGAGACATGCTGTCATTACCGAAAGGCTCCTGCTGAACAACATGGAGTAAATATGACTGAATTGCAAGCTGGATATTCAAGTTGAAGAAGAATTACTTAATTCACTGGCACATTCAATGTGCCACTCTCACACAGAAAGGCAGTGTTAACCTCTATTTCCTTATGGACTTAAAAAATTGCTTTAGGATAAATATCTTCCAACACTGTACCTTTATGCATTATTGTCCAACACCAGAGAAGAGGTAACTTGACTACCGTATATTTGCTTTCAGCTACTCAAAATTAAGAGCTGGTGCTTTCTGGTCATCTTCCCTAACTTAGTTTCCAGACCTCAGACTAGTCTCAAGGAGCTTACAGCAACATTTCACTCCAGCCAAATGACAGGATTGTGCAGGTGTGGATAGGCACAGAAATTATAGTGAGTATTTTGGATAACCTGGTCATGCCTTCACGCTCTAGTACTTTTCTGCTACCCCTTCAGAAAAAAAACTTCTCTCCGTTGCTGAACACTAGCCTCTGCTCCTCTGCATCTTGTGAGGTGCTTCAAAACAAATGTAAAACCTGCTTCGTTTGCTTCTTGGGCCGAAGTGACCCATAAGTTATTTTCTGTTTGACTACTGGTATATCCTTCTGAACACTTGAGATTCAATGCTTCCTTACTAGCCAAGATGAAGTCTTCTCCCACAAATAATATCTGAATGCCATTTCTCCTCATTTCAAAGATTAATAAAAAGCCTCATTAAGTACAAGGTTCACTAAGTAACTCTAATATTTATGATGATACAGGACTGCTGTACTGTTCCAGGTTAGTAAAATCCTACTTTAATGCTTGCCATCTTATCAAATCCCCCAAAGATACACAGTTTGGGGAATCATCTGAGGGCTTCTTGCTCACATAACAGCTTCCATGTGGTGATACACTAGAAACAAAATTACTACATCTTAATGTCAGTACCAAACTAACTGAAAACTACATTTAAGTACAAGATACTGAGGCTCTTCTCTTATATCAAGATAAAAATGAATTTACCTGGTCTCCTAAGTTTCTAAGAGTGGGGCTTCCTCCCTTCAGTTGCTACTATCAAAAAGACTAATATGGATTCAATATTAGTATTAACAGAGAGTTTACAAAAGATGCGTACTCACAATGTACTCACTGTTTGAATTTATTTGTCAAACAATCATGTCTACATACTGCCTCTCAGATAAGCTAAGCTTCTTGCAATACTGTTTGTCAGAAAGTGGACAGGTAATCTGCACTGGGAAGGTGAGAAAGACAGGGCCCAACTTTGCCCTGGAGAAGGAGAGAGGCCTTTGCAGGGAAACCTGCATATCTGACAACTGCTGCACTGCTGATGAATTAGACACTGCTAGCAGACAAGCTGTGTGTTGCATGCATAAACTAGACTGCTGTAAATACAACCAGCCACATGTTAGAGCACCTTTATAAACTAAGGACATTATGTATGGAACATTACAGCTACTTTGCACCAGAAGATATGGGCTTGCTTTGTGTGTCAACCAGGCACTATTCAGCTTTTAGAAATAAGTAATCCTTTATAATGATAAAATTACATAAATTAGAAAGAAAAGAAAAAGGAAAGAAAAAAATAAATACACTCCACCAGAACGTGGAGCACTATATGGGAATGACAACAAACATACAATGCAAATTCATTTTAAATGAAGAAAAACTGAGGAGTGTAGTGACCAGCCATGGAACAGTCAGGCCCCTACATGGACTGCACACTCACCAATATCAAAAAAAGCCCCAAAGCAGCAGCAGAAATCAAAGAACAGATGCAGAAATGGCCACCTACCCACCCCACATAAACAAAAGTGTACATACCAAAAGAATGAAGAACATAAAGAACACAAATGTAGTGAAATAAATTGGTCCCAAAATTCGATTAGCTTCTTCAACCTCTGTGAAGTTGAAGTCTCCCAAAATGATGCGGAACTGAGTAAATCTTAAAAAACAAAACACATCCAGGTGTTGAACAAACGCACTTTCAGAGCTGTGCAAGAATTCTAAAACCATTTTACCATAACAGTCTGACTGATGGGCAGCAGAGAGGTCTGCACTACTATAATACTTTGTCAGGCACTCCAATAGCCAATTCCTCAAACCTACCTCTAGGCATAACCAAACTCGCAGTCAGATATCACAAACAGAGCAAAACTGGGGTGGATACTTCTGACTTTTAGTCAAAACTGATAATAGGAACCACAGAGAGTGGAGCAGAGCAAACCAATGGTTACCATTGTGAAGCTTTAAGACCCACTCCTGTCCCTGTCTTATCCCTTCTGCCTCTTGCATACAACCTCAGTGCTCTCCACGTTGTCTCTACAGTGCCAAGGCAGGAAGAGGCTTGGCACTGCACAGCACTGCCATCATATTTCAAGTTCCTTCAAGTTCCTTCACCTCTCTACAAAGAAGTTTTTGCAACACTGCCCCAGTGTAAGGGAAGAGGGGGAAATCAATAACTAAACACTACCCCCTTTAGAATCAAGTTACGTTGTACCAAATCAACTGATTACTGACCGTATATTAAAGTCCAATCTCTCTCTGGATTACAGCAGATACTTACAAATTTACTAGCTGGCTGTCCAAGATGCAACCTGTGAGTCAAAGAACTACACATGCTACCAGGAACATGGTGTTATTACACATACAACATTTCCATAAGCATTAGAAATATAAGTAAGCATATAATAATTCAACTGCTGAAGACAGAGTTATTGCTTTATCTAGGAATGTGACCAACTGTTATAAAACCCATGTCACTTCTACCAATCAAAGCTTGCCATTTTTGGCTCACTGATCAAACTATAGCACATTTTTAATCTCATAGCAAAGACAGGTTTTGAACTAAAAATGTTATTAAAAACATGCATTTGCTACTGAGTTACATCAACAGTGATATGTCTGCAGCTTATCTGTTTAGATTGATGTTATAGGATTTGTCTCTCATGAGGCAACCGAATCTATTTACCAATGAGCTGAGAAATTCTTAGCACTTTTGTACTTACATGCAGTCCTGGAAAGTACTGAAGTCATCAATTTGAGTGCCAAAGACAAGATAGGCCAACTGAGCATATGCTAAGAAAATAATAAAAAACATAATAGCAAAGCCAACAACATCTTTGACGCAGCGAGACATGGTAGTGGATAACTGACTCATTGTTCTGTTGAAGTTAACGAATTTGAAAAGCTGTCAAAAGAAAACATGACAAAAAACACAACTGTAAAGACAAGGAAAACAACAATTTCTTAACACAACTGTTCTCCAGCCTTTTACATATTAGATGTCTTACTTAATTTGATGGGAGACGAAGTCAGATAATTTACATTTAGAAATACACCCTTTCCTAAAAAACACTGAGGCTTGAAATGAGAAGAAAACTCTGTGAGAATGACATTTCTTGTCTAGCTGCAGGGGTTTGCTTGTTTTTCACTCCTGTATTTGTCAGCCAGGCTTCAGAGAAGTGTAACCAAAACACCTCATTTATTGTCAAAGAAGATGTTAGCTATGAAGTAGTAAAATGTGAGAAAAGCAAATCTCACAGCTGACCTAGCTCTGAGCAGGTGGACAGAGACTTCCTGAGGCCCCTCCACCCTGCATTATTCTATTATTCTGCAGTTTACCATTACTTCCTATAATAAGCCGCTTTATTCCTTAAACCATGATGCAAAATAGACGCAGCTTTGTAATTATAAAACGGTAAGAGACAGCTAACTTACTTAATAAACTTAAGTATCAGTTTGGAGTATCATAGTGGAAATTCATTTATCATTGGTCTTGTATTTTCCCCTATTTATCAGTTTAGTAATTAAATATTCCTCTGCAATGTTATATATACAGAGGACAGGAAATGAACATGAACTTGAAAAGAAATATCACTATAAAGGAGGCAGAAAACCAGAGAAATTAAGTCTAAAGTAATATACATAGTTTTCAAATGAATTGGACTAGGTTTACCAACACTCTAAAGATTTAGAAACTTTGAATAGATAGAACTGGCACAGTTAAACCAGACTAGGAAAAAGCAGTACCAGTAAGTTACTGACTTATTAACTCAGGAATACTAAAAACATTGATTTATATTTCTGCTGTGACAAAGCACTAGCACTGACTACATCTTTGAGACTTAAGGCTGATTAAAACTTATGGCAAATTACAACCTTGTTTTCAGCCTGCAAGAAGTTACCCCTGTGCTCTGACTTTCCTTTGTGCCCAATTTTATGAAAAACATAGAATCATATAATGGTTTGGAAGGGACCTTTGGAAGCTCATCCAGTTCCACCCCCCCTGCAATAGGCAGGGAGACCTTCCACTACACCAGGTTACTCAAAGCCCCATCCAGCGTGGCCTTACATGACTAAATCTCAAATCATGTAATCAACAGAATTACATTCTAATGTCAGAATAAGGATATACATCTTGGAGTTACCTTAATCCAGACAAAAAACACAGTGACTGCAGCTATGTTGTTGAATTGCATTTGCCAATATGCCAAAGGTTCAAAATTGGGGAAAGAGTTCTGATCTTCCAGCAGCTTCTTCAGGAGCATATCAACAGTTGATGTTCTGTAGATGCTAATTCCTATAGCTGCCACAGAGAGCTGAGTACAAAAGAAACATACAAATTTACCAAAGGTGATGAGGGTTTTAAAACACTTTGCCATGTATACAGAGTCATAAAGTACATAATCCTAAAGTTAAACAATGTCCACCAGACCAGGTATAAACAAAGCGTTTTATCCCTTTGTGTGAACCGAATTTTATACTCGCACTTGAATATACTTCACTGACTGTAACAGTAAAGCATCTTACTCCTGCCCCTGCCATTAAATATAAGGAACAGCACACAGTTCATGTAAACATCCCCCCAAACAGCCTTTCATATAAAAAGCACTGTGATACAAGTATGATTTCTCTGGAGCACTGGCTTCAAGACTTAAACCTCTGATACATCCAAGCCTGAAGATAGGAAACAAGAACAAGACTGGGTCTGTTTCAGTATTGCTTACTTTGTATTCTTTTGGCAGGCACAGCTTGACATAAATCCAGAGAGAATTACATATGTATTTTTAAATCAAAGATCATGATTTTCTGTTACACCAAGATTGTTGATGTGCAACGCTGTCCACTTAACCAAGAAAGCAGCCCTGACAGCTGCTAGAACTCTACAATTCGAGACACTTCTTCAAACTTGGTATTAGCTGCTGAGTATTTTAATGACATATGAAATCTCTTTGTGGTTCTCTGCAAACATATTCAAATCCCAGTCCCATTCCTCCAAACATAAATCACTGCTTTAAAGCAGCTGATTTTCTTACTTGAAAGTCACTGCAATAGTCAGTATCAGATCTGTTGAAGAGAAACATGGGCAAGTTTGTTATCTTTCATAATGACTACACCATTATAGACAAAAAGTGTGAGGAAGCACACTGGAGAAATACTCTAATTTTTCAGCAGGATGTTAAGGTTGAAACCAACAAAGAGAAAAAAAGCAAGTCTGCAAAATACATCAATATTACAACACAGACTAAAATAGTCTTATTCAGATTGAATAGCCCATTAGACTGTAAGTATCCTTCCTAATAATATTCCTATCCCTTAAAGCAATACTGAGTCATTAATGTCACTCACAAAGGGCATTTCAGAAAGTAATTTTAGCCTTATTATAAAGATTACTTACCACAATGATAAGAACATCAAGGCAATTCCAAAGACTTCTGAAGTAGTGCAGTCTATGAATGTGAATTTCTAAAATCTCTTCCACCATGTAATACAGCACAAAGAGACAAAATGCCATTTCACAGGCTGCCAGGAAAAAATCAAAAGTGGAGATGTAGTGAATCAGCCTCACTGGCTGAAATTGCCAAGATGTAACAAGGCCTCCAGTCGCTGGAAACTCCACTAACAACCTGCATCAAAAACCAGAAAAAAGGGCAAAGAATAAAAGATTTCATTTACACAGCATTGATGAAAAGCAGAGTGAAAATACATGGGTTTATTTCCATAATTATTTAAATAATGGAAACAGGCAAAAGCCCACATTTGATTCAGCAAAGACACTACACAGAACAGAAGGTGTAAACCTGACCACACTCAATTCTGACTAAAATCAAAAGCATTTCAGGAACAATGAGATAAACAGAGACAGAAAGACCTGTCTTCATCTGCATTTGTTTCATGGTGTTGAAAAGACTGATGTTGTGTATCCACATATTAATAAGTCAACTCTCTAGAGAAGTCGCCTGCAAACTGCACCCAAGCTGCTGTAGCATCAGCAAAGCCAGAACTGTCTCCAGACAATGAGTGCAGCTTCCATGTGGAGTCTCACTTCTTTGACAGGGAGGCATCCCATTTCACTTGTCTGCCTCCTTTATGCAAAACACTTACCCACGTCCTGAAAACAAAGCAATCACAAGAAAACCCCAAGTCAATAACTGACACTGTGCAATTTGAAAACTCTTATGGCTCTGTTCATACCTCACAATGCAGAATAGGTTGATGTTTGCATTGTATACAGAGAAATCAATGAAAGCTGCTCTGGTCCCTCTGTCTAGCCACAGGTTCTTCTTAAGGCTAGCAATCTGCACAGCTGTCACTTCTCTGTTCCTTGAGAGGTCTTGGTAATAACCAGCCCCACTGTATGTGGCAATCAAGCCCCAGTGGCTGCTCCCATTCAAATCCTTCTCATTGGTGTATGTCCAACTAGTTCAGAAGTAAAACAGAGTACATTAGTCTTTCCATTTGCAACTTACAATTAAGAAAACAGACACCACCAAAACCTGACCAAAAAAACATATCAGTTACTTAAAGCCATTTAAATTTAAGAGGTACTTGTAGAAAGTTTTGATGTACCCTGGAGAAAGATCTTACAAAGTTCCTTTGACTAACACAACAAAATGAAGATAGAAAAATGGGTCACAAGTATATTAATTGCCAAAAAGAAAATACATTAATCTAGTCACATAGAATTTTTCCTAAGGGAAAGAAAGAAAATTCTTTTCCATCTCCAAAACTTTTCACAATTAACTCACAAATTGTCCTCCAAGAGAGGCAGTGCTATTCCCATTTTTAGCCAGGAAAGACAACTCAGTGAAACCCACCGCAGTAATACAATCCGGAATTACAGAACAGGCGCTCACCAGTTGTAGTGCTGCACTCAGACCACAGAGTGTCTCCCATGCATAAAATGGTACAACGGCAGCCCCTCAACTCAAGCGGGTAAGAGCACAGTGCTGTCCAAGTTTAGTAAGGTTTCTCCATGAGCAGAACTGGCAACTGCTCATTTTACTAGGCTTTACAGACAGAACAGACAATAAATGCAGAGTTGCCTCTGCCAAGTGACTTATTGTGTAATTCAGCATAACCAAGATCAGGAAAAAAAATCTATGTGAATACAGGAATACTACATACGCTGTTCCATTTCGAAGTCCAAACGGAGCAGTATCTTCATTAGCTACAGAATAGACATCATAGCAGTCCTTGATTTCTTCCTTTAAATCTTCAGGTATTGAGCATGAACCATTTCTAACTTTCAGCTGCCGAATACGAGGCACCCCTAGGAGCAGGTTCTCATAATAAATGAAGCTTTTGTTTTCTGCCATGGTTTTGTTGTTGTACCACATTTCCCAGTAGAGACCATCCAGCAAAGGGCCTTCTGTGAACTGGGGAATAAGACAGGATTTCAGTTTGCATGTTTCCATCATGGTTTTTATAGATCTTCATTCCATGGATGTGTTAGAATTGCAGTTGTTAATTTTTCTGACATAAAGCCTTACTTGTCCTCCAAAGACATTCACCTTGCCCTACCCTGGCCCTCCAGCCAGGCCCCCCCCCGCCTTTGTTCTAAATTTTCACGTATTAAAGGCCAACTCTGTTCCATAGCTTTGACACATAAATCTTCACGCACAACCAAAACCACATTAGAAAAAAGATCCTGGTAGGTTAAATACACAGGACAAGCATATCACAACAAAAGAGAGATAAAAACTTGGGCTTAGATTACCTTCCAGAAGTCGTCCATTGTGGATAAAGTTTTGAAATCAGTTTTCTCCATTTTTGATACAGGTGTTTCCAGGAAGAGCTGCGACATGACCCTCGTGTAATAATACATACTGGAACTCACTGTCCCGTAAGTCACTGCAAAAGATTTAGTTAAGAATGAGAGGAAAAGGGTAGGGGAAAGATAAGAGGAAAAAAAAAGGGAAAAGAAAAAAAAAAATCTTACTTTTTTTGTTGAAATTGTATAGATTTTGCACCAAAAAGTTTAAGCTTCAGAGCAAAACAAAATCCACACCAAGCAGCATTTGTCTTTCAACTGTGAGTAAGACATAGAAAGCAGTGAAGAACAGTCTGACCAATGAGTTTAAAATACTCAGTTCTCTTTCCCACACCTCATTCTATTATTAATGTTTCTACAAAAACTAACTTCAGGAAAAAAAACCTGCATGATTCAGCAGCCTGAAGAGTGCCTTTTTAGGTGACTTGTACTATCTAAGGCATCATAGAGAGCTGGCACAGATGGCATGAGATCTCAGGAAAACTATGCCCTGCTTGAGCACATAATAAGTCAACCAGGATATTGCAGGGCACTGTGAATGACATCAGCTGCCTATGGTTGACAACGAAACCCCACCCAAGATATGCAGCGCTTCTAAGATAATCTCCCCACAGAAAATACATGACTCTGTGTTACTCTTACACTGGGCAGAACATTTGTCTGATGATGGCCAGAGCATAAATTATAAAATGACGTACAAAGGCAAGATGGCTTCAGAGAATGGTCTCTGGCTCCAATAACATCACTGCTTATAAATACTTAAAGCCATTTTGTGACAGAAACTCAGAAAGGCCTGAAAGATTAATTCTACACCAAACAATCTCCATCTGTTTTGACAATTTTATAGAAATATTTTGTCTTAGGGAAGAAAATGTGAACAAGAACTATTTTTAATAGACTTCTGCTCTGCTCTCAGAACCAGTCAACCCACGTAGTTTTGCTTTTTCTTTCCACTCCACAATTCTCTCTCACCTAAATAAAAACATCACTCCATTCTATCACAACTGATCATAAACGACAACTTAAGTGTCACTGACATTTCAGGCATATAGAACAGAACTGCCCACACTAAAAACTGAATGCTTGAAACATACCGGCTTTCCAAAGATACACTAACTTAATGCATACAGATTATTCTCCTAGTAACCAAATAAAACATCTATTTCACACTTCATCATAAGTTCTATTTTGCATCAACTTCTAATTTTTGTGCAAATACATGAACATGCCTCATTTGAAGTTCCCAAGGCCAAAGGCGGCTGCTCTCAGAACCGTTACATTATACCATATCTATTATACATTATACCAACTGTTCACAGTGCTGTGTGAGGCTTGTGATAAATCTCTATCTCTGCACCAGCATCACTAAGGTTCTTCACCTTGAGAAAAGAACAGCAAACTCTGTTCAGGATACTCTCTTAAACTCCATTTAGGCCCAGGAATATAATTCAGCACGAGGCTGGTGATCCATCAGGCTCCTCACTTCTGTACTAAGTCCGTATTTAGTAGAATCTGCTCATATTCAGTGTCAATTCTAGAGCACCTACTTTCAAGCAATCACCTACTTAAAAGCCAAAAAAAAAAAAAGTAGGTTGACTGTTACCCTGTTCTGTGTTCTATAGTGTTACAATACTTCATATGATATCATAGACATCAAAACAAATAATGCACTTATATCATGGAAGTCTCCAGCTGTGATCCATATACACTTGAGTACATGTAGGTTACAGATGCATTTAGAATGTCCAGCATCATGCAAACACAAATTATTAGGTATTTCTAAGTAGCTGGCATCATCTCTGCCTTTCCAGCAACCGTCAAGAGCTTTTATTCTTAGAATGATCTGTACATAAGCTTGGAGAGAAATTCAAAACTCAGTGATGTAATTAATTTTTAGTCCCAGATGGTAACTCAAACTCTTCACATTTAACAGTTCTGTTCAGCAATTTCAAAATGTGTAGCAGAACCATTACACTGCAGTGTGGTACTACATTAAAAAAATACTCCTTAAAAACAAAGAATATTACCACCCTGCTTAAAGGTTCAAAATTTGTGAAGTTACAGAAAGTTGCAGTACTTTAAATCTCAAGCAATAATCCATGTGCAGAAGAATTAATTCCCAGTATTTGCCTATGCACCTGCCCATTAATTCTTCTCCAACATCACTGAAACAATCTTCATTCTGGAATTACAAACAGCAAGCAGTACAGAAATGGATACACATAATGCTGAATGGTACTTACAGACACACAAGACCACAAGGAAAACCATGTACGTAACCAACTCCCGTAAAACACTTTTCAGGTATCGCTCTCTGCTGGTGTTGCTTTCTTCCATGAGTCTTGTTCCCCATAGACCTTAAAAGGAAAACATATATAATGATGCATACAGATGTCTACATAAGCAATGTAATAAGGTTGTGAAAGCTTAACCCGTCTGCTCCAGGTTCTTCTCTGGACTTTAAACCAATTTAAGGTCAAGCAAGAACTTCTTCCATACACTGAACAGGGCCTGAGACAGTATTAGCTATTCATAAGATACCATAATAATCTATTAACAGCTCAGCAGAACTCTTAACAGATTCTGCTGAAGATTTGCCAGAAGTGCTGTCCCTTAAAGCCACATGGTAGGAAAACAAATACAAGTATACAAAGACAGACAAACAGAGTCATCCTTCAAGAAATTATTTGTTTGGGGTTTTTCTTTGTGGTTTGCTTGCTTTTTAATATGAAGAGCATTGTTAGATGAATGAAAATGCATGATCAGTATTTAAATTTTATTAGGAGGCTTAACTAACCTTCTACCTGAAAGGGTATGTCCCTGCCCATGGTACAGGGGTTGGAACTAGATGATCTTCAGGTGCTTTCCAACGCTAATTATTCTATGATTCTATGTCAACCAAACGTATTTTTTAAAGAACAAGTTGTAACCATCCTCTCCTAGATAGGCAAGGCATGTCCAACAGAGACATAGGAGGGACCTTGGTAAGTATTTCTATATGATTTCTTTCCTTGCATATCAAAAGATTATCACAGAAACATTAAGTAGCAGCCTAAATGAGCAACTGCTGCCTAACTGTCAAACTGGGCAACTGCATTAGCTGAACTATTTCCTCCTGTTCCTAGCTTCACGTTCTCAAGAAGACAGTGTAAGAGAAGCTACTGAACTTGTGTGATCCTGTCCAAAAGGGTTACGGAAAAGCAAAAGGATCTTCCAAACTGTCTCTGAAAGAAACAATAAAGAAACAATCACCTGAAAACAGAAAGCAGTTAGTAACCACCATACTTATTTCCTATGCCTAATACAGGACACAAAAAAAAGCTGGGAACAGCTGCTGATGCATAGACCAGAACTGCTACCTTCAAGGAACTTCTCTTCATTTAAACCTAAATAAAGCAAGGTGATTTGACCTTAGTTTATGGTGAGAGAGAAAGTATATACAAATAAAAATTCACTGTAGAGAAGTGCACCAAACTTACACTCTTTTCCTTTGCAGCTATTTTAAACAGCCAAACTTTTAAAATGCCCCATATGTTCTCAGTAGATGGAAATGAAGTAACCTCAAACTCCCTAGGAAAAAATCCTGGATCCATCAAACATACCACAGTAATTTTAAATCAAATGGAACAGCAACAAGGGATAGCCAAAACACACTATAAAGCTCACAAACAATCAAGAGTTCAGTTGCTTTGCAACTGCTGCTGTAAGACTACACGGACAAAGGGCTCATCTGCCTGCTGCAGAACCTCATTTGCTAACAAAGAGACGTGAGTAAGGAAGCTCTTCCCTCTAACTGCAAATATGAGGTGTATTCAGGAAAAAAAAAATGTGTCAGATGATTTTAGGAGCCTTTCAGCTACCACATATTTAAGTTGCGACCTAACCACAAAGTCAACCAGGAAAGTTCTCTTGCATAGGCACAACAAGCACTAATAGTCTTAGCATTAATTTCTCTTCACATTCCTTTAGCAAATTACAACCTCCACTAGTGTCAGCCTCCAAAACAAGAGAGCCTTTTCAGAGCTGTTCTCTAAGCCTGGAAATTTACAGATAAAGACTGCAACTTTACTGCACAGAATGCCAAATCCTCACCATTAGGTCATTCTTGAAGACAGAAACACAAACCCAAGAACATTTAGAGAGTCACATAATAAAGAACTCAACAAATAGAGCCTTTAGCACAGCACTACGTTGCACTAGCAACCCTCATAATAAAGGCAGGAAAACATTACAGAAGAGAGGAAGAAAAGGCTGGAACAGGCAGTGAGCTAAGCTGGCGAGGGAGCCGAATCCCGGCTGTCAGCACATTACTCACCAATAAGAAATGTGGTGAGCAAAAAGCTTGCAAGCTCAAATTCTGTCATATTAGAATCTTGTTAGGGCTCAGCCAGGAGCAGAAAGTTACACGTGAATAAAAGAACAAAACAAAACCCAGCACCAGAGATCATACAATGAACTTTGTGTTAAATGAGCTCTGGATTTATGTGTCAGCTACAAGCCCCTTTTTTAGAAGACACACACATTATTCTCCTTTCGCATTATTAGAATATTGGTTTAGATGCATCAAGAACAGTGGTGGTAAGCAGTGCTGAATTTAAGTTGACATCCACTGCAAGCACCAAACGCACTTCATTTCTAGCCATTTTCAGTCCATTCCTTATGTAACTTTTCTATTCATCAACTTTTTGATAAAATCTATGTACGCTTTATCAAACAAACCTGAAACTAACAATTCTCTCACACTCATTCTGTAGTCCAACTGGCTTACTCATGGAGTATGTGAACTCAGAAGAGCTGTCAAAAAATAACGATCAAATGCAAATAAAAAACAGATGAAATTTCAAACAATAAAGTCTAGCTCATTAGGTACATGGGAGATTAAAGTATTTCTGTTTATACATATATAAAGTGTTATATAAATATATAAACACACATATATAATGTGTATGTACTTATACACATAATCACAAAGCCAAGTTTATAAGGTACAAAGTGCATATAAAATAATTCAGACTTGTGTGAAAGTTAAGTTCTGAAAGCACCCAAACCAAAATACGTATCACTAATCTGCCTACACACAAATTCAGATGCTGGGGAAACAATGGGGCTAGGGGAAAGAGAGGAAAGCGACCATCAGGCAAAGATGCTTTGCCCCCAGACAACAACAAAATAGTCTCAAATTCCTTAGTAAGGTATAGTCAGAGCCTACACTAGGTTCAAGTCAGTAAAAATGTCATAATGCATTCTTTGTGAAAGTAACAATTAATGACTGGAAATATCTGATGCTTCCATTTAGCAGTAATTAAGAAAACCTTTCAAGAAATATCCCGCATACGCTCCTTAGTATTGATACACGAGGACTCAGTAGCACTGGGTGACCAAGTACAACTCTGAGGGGCAGACCTTTCCAGCTTGGCTCTGGAAATGGACTTTGCTCTTACCCATCGAAACCATCTCCTTAACAGAACTGGATAGTCATCCCCTCCTCTCCTCTCAGCATCTGGGCTGTTTGCTGAAGAGATGTGCAAAACTAGGGGGGCTAAAGCTAAAGAGTTAGAATCTGAAAAGAACCCACAAAGAGAAAAAACTAAGATACAGGTAGTCTGAAGTAGCTTTCTCTTCACTTAGGAACTCATGTTAGCTATCTCCCCTGTAGTTGCAATTATCAAAAATCCCATCATCTTAATCCTCTCTGCTTTTTTATTTCACAACTGACAGCAAGGAAAGTGTAAGCTGTCATTCAATATCCTTCAGTTCATGCATGGCAATCTGTTTCGCCATGGTAATTCTATCACTTTTGATATCCAAAGGATTAATCCTTCTGGTTGAATTCTGTCTAGTGAAATGGAATTTCATTAAATAAATCTATGCTAACTTCTCTTTAGTCATCTTGAAATAAAATTTAATAAGAAGTATGCCCCTTTCTAGTCTTCAAAGATGAAACATCAAAATAACTACCGAGTGCTCTTTCCAGTATTAAAACCTCTCTTATCCTTTAAGTGCCCTATATTAATTTCAAGTCCTTTCACTGTGTAGCCTGCAGCAACAGCATTCTTCAGAGGTTAGTTACCTCCACAGCAGGCAAGTACAGCACCCGGCAGTACCTTCACAGCAATAAAATTACACCTAGCCATTTACTGTGGTTATAAATTAATGGCAACATTCTCATGAAAGAGCCAGAAAAGAATCTGTCTACTACAGTAACTTTGGCTACACCTCCCTACAAACACAAAATGTAGGCAGGTCAGGAATCAACAGGAACTGTGGATAGTAACCGCAGGGATAAATCCACTCCTAACATTCCTATAACATGAACCCAAGTCTTTTCATTTTACAGCCAAAAATAGAATACTACCAGTGTACACTATCTCCAACAGCAAGAGGCAACTTGGTCCACGGCCATTACTGAAAATATTGGTTTTCTTAAACTGCAAGAATGTGTAACTTTGCACCATTCTCCACACATCACACACTTGATTAATCAGCTCACACTCAGTAGTGTAAAAGAACCACACTAGTTGAAAGGATGCATAACGTTACGACGTCAAAGGTGGTTCTCATCTTTCAGAGCTCAAGCTATGGACATGCATCAGCTCCAAAGTGATTAATCTAGCCCCAGATACATTGCTTTTAGGCAGCAGGACAGGCCCCTGTCAGCACAGGGCCAAGTAGCTTCTCTGGCAACATCTGCCTGATGCTGATGAAGACTCATTCTGCCCAGCACAGCATACAGCTTCACCAAAAGCTTATTCCTCTTTGTTCTGCTGTGCAACTGAACCAGGTTGAAACAAGGTGAAAATACACAGACAACCTTAAAACAAACAAATAAAAAGCTAGAAAAAAATCATACTAAGAATAAGCATCTTTCCTTCACCCTAAACCACCCCTAAGTGCAGATAAACTATAGGTGATTCAACAAATCTATTACAAAGCCTTTGTTAAATTACATCTGGGGGGGGGTGTGTGTGTGTGTGTGTGTGGATTTTCCTTTCATCTGCAAATACTCTGACCTTACACAAATCACATGTTATTAAGCTCTGACTTCAGGTTCAAAACGGCTCAGAAACCAACACCAAGATCAGTCCTAGTGTGGATGATCTGTTTTGAGCATTGCTGCAGAAATCATGACGGAGATGAAACAGGAGTAACTCATGTCAGGTCATCATGAAGCCACTCTCACCTCACATTCAAACACCACTACTTTTCACCGCAGTTAAAAGCATATACAGGAGGTTCCTTCTTGGCAACAACTAGTATGAAGGGAGGATCTGAAAAGTCTACTTAGGTGAGAATTTTCATGAAAGGACTTCAGTTTCTCCATGCTAAGCAGCTCCTTTCCTAGGCATTTACGTATCTCACTGACAGACTAAATTAAACACACCTCCGAAAACTCTAGAGCAGTGCCATTCCATGCGTAACACATAAAACCATTCTACAACTGACATTTTTTTTCCCCAGCCATTCCGGTCTCTTTTTATGAAGAGACGTAGTTCATTGAACACTCTCCCAATAAAATCTGCTGAAAACATGCTTTATTCCATAGTCTCTGTAAATCTGACTTGCATCCAAGTAAAAAACTGCAATGATCAAGACAGACTTACTTTGGTGCAAGACTAAGGCAGAGAAATCATTATAGCAAATGATATCTGAATGCACATGAAAAACCAAAGTGAAGCATACAGGACACGCAACAGCCTAATTTACAAAGTCCTGCTTAAAATCAAGTTCATACTGACACCTCTGCTGACGCTATGCCAAGCAGTAACAGTACAAGCACTTCAGAACACTCGCATTTTAGAAGGAACCTTATTTCCTAACTATGGCTTCCTTCTGCCATATATAATATAATATATATATTTTGTCTGACACTTAAGCAAATCCTACATTTAAACCCTTCACGATTTGATGCTGGCATTTTAAGCTTCTCTAAAAAAGTAGCCAGGACTAAGACCTGGGAGGCAGAGCTCTATGCTCCAGAGGAAACCAAGGCGAAAAGGGTGTGTGCATCTGGGACGGGAGAGGGGGGCATAACCAGGTCAGAGATGGGAATACACATGTGCATAAAGCGGGGACACAAACATGGATGGACTGACGGGAGAAGGAAAAAGAATAGGGACAGAGGAAAGAGCATAGGCAGCAAAGGGGTGGGTGAAAGAAAAGGCACAAGGGATCACAAACAACCCATGAACGCTCCCCTCGCCGACAGTCCGCAGTAAAGGGCAGCCCAGCAAGACTCGGAGCCCCGCTCCGGCAGGAAGGGCCAAAGGCTCTCACCTCGCAGCCGCCGCGCCAGCCGCTTGGCCCAGGCCGCCCGGCGGGGCGCGGCGCCGTCGGGTGGCACCTGGTGGCGGCTCGGCACCTCCGTTCCGCCGCGCCCCGCAGGGACCCGCCGCTGCCGCCGCCCGCCGCCGCCCATGCCCGCCGCGCTGCTGCCCAACGACGACGAAGCGCCGGCCGCGGGACTGCCCCACTCCACGTCCATCTCCAGCACCGGCCCCGCCGCCGCCGCCGTTCCCTCCTCCTCCGGCTCGAAGCCCGGGTTGTCCCGGCTCCAGGCCTGCCGCGAGCAGGCGGAGAGCGGCGGCGACGGCGGGCAGGAGCCGGCCCGCGCCGCCTCGCCCAGCCGCTCCAGCTCCAGCTGGTCCCTCCCGCGCCGGCAGCCCCCACTGCCCGCCATCGGCCAGCCGCCACCACCACCGCCCGGGGCGGGGCACCCCCGCCTCCGCCCTTTCCCCGCCCGCCGGCGCCTGCCCGGAAAGCCCAGGGTACGGAGGGAGATGTAGTTGCTCGGCCTCCTTCCCTCACGGGGGGCGCGGCCATTGGGCCAGGCCAGGCCGAGCTGTGAGGCGGGAAGCCCGAAGGCCTGGGGCGCTTCAGTGGAAGCGGTTCAAGGGCCGGCACCAGCACGCCGCTCAGCCTCGGTAAAAGCTCCACGGAGGGGTTTTATCTACTTAATAAATAAAATATCAGCTATTTAATTTTAAGGAGAGGGATTACAACTCCTCACGCAGCCGAGAAGCTGCCCTCTGACCCAACCCAGGAAACGGTAACACAGCCCACAGCTACAGGGTTTTGTGTGTTTATTTAAATCCAGTTACAGCAAAATACAGGCTGGCGGTACATACAGCAGCATGCCACAGGGGTAACGCTCGTTCTGTGCGCCTGACAGCATCAGACTCGCTTCCCCATGCACTTGCAGCCAAGGGGAGGCCACCGGGTAAAAGAAGCTGTCCCGAACCCCAAAAGTCACCACGCATTCTACATTTACAGTTACCAGACACGAAGCTACCCTCCCTCCCCTTAGGTAGGAATTGGAAGAGAAGGGAAATGTTACATCTGCCTCCCTTTAAAGAGTGACTTCGTTGTTCTCGATGCTGTGACGGTCTCGAGCATCCTCGGCACTCTCCAACGTTTGGTTGCTGTTATCGTCAGGGATCTCAGCGGAAACGTGGGCCTGGCTCTCCCTGCTTTCTATGCTGTGGTGGCTATCCTCTCTGACACCAGCCTTGCTATCATCATCTGCCTCATGGCTATCGAACTTCTGCTGGCTGTCATTTTCCAGGCTCCGGTCACGCTGCTTGCTGTCCAGCTCGCTGCTGTCCTGCCCATGGCTCTTGTCAGCCCATTCCCTGCTGATGTACTTCACCAGGGAGTGGCGGGCAGCAGGATGATCCTGGGAGAGCCCCACTTGCTGGCTGTCTGCATCCAGGGCGCTCTCATCCTCCTCGGTGGCATCATAGGCAATGAGCTGTGTTAGAGACCAAAATAAGAACCATTATCACTCCTGAGAAACTGACCTGTCAACAGGTGCTGCTGTACTGTACCAAAGCAAACTGCATAGGGTGTTGGAGCACTCAAAGCCTGCATGATGCACCTCTGCCTGGAGACACTGTGTTCTTTTATGGGGTTACATGAACCTTTCACATAACAAGAAATTCCAATTTGAACTTGCCCTCAGATTTTGTGTGTGCAAGTAGAGCATGATAGTTCAAATGGTAGTATTGCATAGCTTGCAGCAACGGGCTACACTCCTACCTCAGCACACCACCAGCCATAAGCAGGCCCTGTTTTGGGATATCCAGAGAAAGGAAATACATTCCTTCACTTGTGCCTACCTTCCCCTCACCAATCCTTTTCAAAACTGACATGTCCATTTTAAAGGTTCAAGTTCACTATCCGCTTTCCAAAATCTGGGTACCAATGCTCACCACTATTTACCTTCTTTGCAGCTTTGCGGAGTTTGCTAGATTTCACCACTGAGGCTTTTGCCCTCATTCTGTAGGCCACGCTGTCGCCTCTGCCAGCATTGTCTCCCCGGGTGAAGGGGAAAGGTGGGAATGGTGCAGTTACGGGAATGTCTGTGGGAAAACTTGTGACAACCTCATCGGATTCATCTGTATCATTGGAATCATTATCATCATCATCATCCACATCTTCATGGCTCTTGCTTGACACATCAGGGAACTGCTGGAAAACATTTATTATGCATCAGGCAAATGAAGACTTACGCGAGATTTGCAGCCTGGTATCTGTTCTGCTCACCCAGAGTTTATGCAGTGTTGAGGAGCTATTCCCCTCACCCTCCCTGAAGCTCTGGGGCTTTTTTTTAGAGAGAGATGTTATCACAAGAACCACGATCGATTGAGGAAAATGCGTGTTGCTACACACTGCAGCACTCAACTGACATTTTACTGTTCAAAATACTTACCTGTTCTGGGACATCCACACTTTCCTCTGAAGAGTAGAGAGTCTGAAAACAACATAAAACTCACTATTAGCACACAAAGACACATACAGTAGAGCTGATCAGTATGTTGAATATTCTTTAAGCACTTAATCCTAAATTGAAAAATGCTCTGCTTTCTCTTCCAGTCAGTTGCCTGTACCTGCTGAGGTGACGCCAGGTCATTCTGTTGCTGTTGCAGACTCTCCCAAGACTGAGAATTCATGTGGTGGTATCTTCGTGAGTGATGGCCCTTGGGGTCCTTCAAGAGAAAAAGGAAAGGCGGGTTAAATCCACAAAGAAGCATATAGGAGCAGGCAGAGCTGCCTGCATCACAATCTCTGTTTTCAGGCAGATGTGACATCTGCAATACACTCCTGCGCAGGATGTGTCCTCAGCAATTCACTGCGGTAAGAAGAGGACTCAAACAATGTAATACAGAAGATGTGCCTCTCCCACTGGCAGAATCTGGGGAGCTTCAAATCAGTTTCCCTGGCTCACTTCCACTGAGTGAAATTTGGAGCTATTTCTAATGACCATAATTTCTTCCAGTTCTCATGCCTTTTTCCAAAGAGTGATTTATCTCTCACATCAAAAAGACTTGAAACTAAATGCAGTAGCCTATTCTCCAGACAAAAAGTTGATTTTACATGGATAGTAGCTAGCAGTGGAGCATAAATCAAACAGTTACATATAAGGTTAATGCAACTCACTCGCACCACTCAAAAAAAATAATGGGAATTAGGTTAAAGTCTTGAGTTGGTGTCTCCCAACACCAAATATTGTCATCTGATCCACAGTAATGAATGTGGATTATAATAGTTGTGCCATGTTGTAGACCTTTTTGCTTTTTAACTGACAGCTTTCACATTTTTCATTAAGAGAAAAGGTTTCCAGTGCTGGTCCAGAGACTAACAGAAGTCCACAGCCAGGATGCCTAACAGGCAAAACTCTGCTGATGTTGGTGTCTCTCCTCTTTGGCTGCCTGAGGAGCTGGCTTATAACAGCTAGGTGAGGACAAGTTCTGCAAGCAGCTACAATCATAAAACAAGCATCAGGCAATGTGTATTAGATGAAAAAAAATATAAAAAAGGATTTATTAAAGAAAATTAATAGAAAGACAAAAGGAGCTTACATATTTTTCTTCAGAGCTGGCAGAAATGGCATGCTGCTTGGTTTTACTCACCTTCAAGGGAGACAGGAAAAAAGCATTTGTCAGTATTAATTTCTTGCTAACATACAAAGAAAATACACAATTTGTGTATTTTGTGATTTACTTACTGGCCATGCAGCAGTGATGCTGATAAGGCATAAACACAGAACTGCCACCTTCATTGTGATGTTTTACCTACAAAGTATTTTGGAACAGTGAGTCAACAAGGTAAAATACCACAGAAATACCACAGGTGTTTTCTCCCTTCTGGTGTACTTCACTGTGCTGAGACCAGGTCTCTGCTGAGGATTCAACCTGTCCATTGCTGATCTTATTCCTCTGTCCTCCATCACCACCCCACATCCAGTTGGTTTTGTAATGACTTAGCAACTCAAAAGCTACAAGGATTTTAAAACCAGGTACTGGGAAGTGCTGAGCAGTGGTGAGAGTAGCCACAGAAGGTGAGGAGTCTCCTGTCATCTACTGACTTGAACTGGCAAAGGAAAAGCTTTGTGAAAAACAAAGTGCTATGAAGATAGCTTTGGGTTATCTTTGTTCATTTAACATCATTTTGCCAGAAGAGACAGGACAAGACAAACTCAGCTTGGGTTCTCTCTTCAGTTATTTTAAACCTAGTTTTCAGGGTTATTAACTGGAGTTGCTGTGAGTAAATTCAGTCTATATGAGCATAAATTGCTTTATTGATGGACCTTTATTTCCCCCTCCAGAAGTTTGAGCAGAATCACCTGTGTTTCCAAGCAAGAGATGAAGTGAAATATCTGCTCACATTGCAGCTTTAACAATTTAGTAAATGAGTGATTCATGCTGAAATTAGGAGAGTGCTGAGCTGCAGTAAATTCCAGTGCTGATAGACCAATTCCCAGGATAAGGAACATCCCTGAGAAATTAAACTGATTTATTGATGAACAAGAGGCATTCAAAACTTCAGTATATCATAGCGGGAAAGAAAGGCTACTAAGGGCACATTTAAAATACATTAGTAAGGCTGCTCCTGAGACAGGACACTCAATCAAATGTGTTGCAATTTCAAGAGTTAAACAGAGAAGGGTGTGTGTCCCATCCATTCAGTAGCGTACAGCACAAGCTGCAAGCCTGCCAAGAGAAACAGGGGCACTGCCAGGCAGTGGTTAAACAAGGAAGGAAGCTTTCTGTGTTCAAGTATCAGCTTTGAGCTTCCAGCACTTGATTCAGTGGCAAGGTTTTCAGTTATCTCCTCCGAACATCTATCAGCACTCAGGTCTAAATTGCTATTATGTATAATACCTTCATCGCTAAAGCAACTTTGCTCCTATAAAAGCATACCTTTTTCCATAGAGAAACATCAAACATCCCTGACCAGTGAAGCAGTTTTCAAAGATCTCCTGCCCAATGCTTCCTTGACTAAAGCTGCAGACAAAATCGCACATAATCAGGTAAAAAGAGAAAAAAATACTACCTTTTGTGGTGCTGGAGGAGTCAATTGCAACAACAGCACTCTTGGTGATCCCAGCAGCTGCTCCAGCCAGTTGGTTCCCAGCAGCTTGGCCTTTCTCCCCTCGTCCCCTGTCTGCCTAACATCTCTGATCTCGGGGAATTTAAACCCTGTTCCAGGCACAGCCACCAATCCCTGTGAGGCGGAAACAGATGAGGTCATGAGGTTCCTGGCCGCGGTCCTGCCCACGTTCTCCTACACTTCCTCTTTGGCTTTGTGGCTTTTGAAGCAAACAAAAACTGCTCTATGGTTAAAACATTACTTATGGGCAAGATCATTAACCAGCAGTTCTGTTGAATGCACAGCATTTGGTTGGTAGCATGTA